AGCAGGAAATGCAACCTTAGATTTGTTCTGTAAAAGAAGCCCAAACCCCGAGGCGACACAAAGGAATTGTCCGATTTCTCTCGGCGCTGGGAAGGCTGGCGAAGAAGGCACATGTTCTCTGGACCCCACGAGGCAGACAAGGTTAAGCGCATGGCCAGAGGTGTTCTCAAGGCCCACCTGTGGAAAGGCCACCTCCCCAAGTTGGGCAGCTGTGGGCTTAGGGCGGTGCCACCCTCGCTCACACACACACCCCAAATCCGCAGAGAAGAACAGAAGCAGACGTTCTCAATATCCTCCGGCAGTGAAAATTGCAAGAAGGCAAGAAGTTTAAAAAAATGTGGAAAAAGAATAATTACGCCCTTCGAAGAATTAGTAATAATAATAATTTATTATTTATACCCTGCCCAGCTGGCTGAGTCTCCCCAGCCACTCTGGGCGTCTCCCAATCAAGTGTTAAAAACAGTACAGCATTAAATATTAAAAACTTCCCTGAACAGGGCTGCCTTCAGATGTCTTTTAAAGATAGGATAGCTGCGTATTTCCTTGACATCTGAAGGGAGGGTGTTCCACAGGGTAGGCGCCACTACCGAGAAGGCCCTCTGTCTGGTTCCCTGTAGCTTCACTTCTCGGAATGTGGGAACCGCCAGAAGGCCCTTGGCGCTGGATCTCAGTGTCCGGGCTTAACGATGGGGATGGAGACGCTCCTTCGGGTATACAGGACCGAGGCCATTTAGGGCTTTAAAGGTCAGCACCAACACTTTGCACTGTGCTCGGAAATGTACTGGGAGCCAATGCAGATCTCTCAGGACCGGAGTTATGTGGTCTCGGCAGCCGCTCCCAGTCACCAGTCTAGCTGCCGCATTCTGGATTAATTGCAGTTTCCGGGACACCTTCAAAGGTAGTCCCTTCAAAAGGTAGTGAAAGGATATAGGACAGATTGGGCCGAAATAGTTTCAAAATTGTATAAGGTGTTATTAGACAAAGAGAAATCAGCAAAGGAAAGTTTGAAAGAATATTGGATGCTAGATATTCAGGAACAGATTTTAGATGGAAGATTGGGAAAGAATCTTTTGGCAACTACCCTTTGTTGCGACCTCTAGGATAATCCAGGAACAAGGGTTGCTGTTGGTACAAAAATGGTATTACACACCTGTAAGGTTATATCATATTACAAAATCTGGAAGTAAGAATTGTTGGAGGAAATGTGGAGTGATGGGAACGTACAGTCATATGTGGTGGGATTGTCCATTAGTTAATGAATTCTGGAAACAGATTGGCATAGAAATATCGGGAATTGTGGGCAGGAAGGTGGAAATATCTAAATTAATGGTTCTTATTAGCCTGAGTAGCACAGAGTTAGAAACAAAAGAGGAATTTAAATGGGTAAAACTGATGGTAATTGCAGCCAGACAGGTTATAGCGAGTAATTGGAAAAATGCAGAAGAGTTGGGGTGAACCAATGGAGGGAAAAACTGAATAATATTATAATCTTAGAATATCTAACTGGGAAGACACATAAAATGAAATGGTTTAAGGTCAGTGAGAAGGAGGAGGATTGGTTTGAGAAGATATTGAATTATTTGGGCAGGTTTGAACAATTTGGGGCAATTAAAATGTTAAAAGTTAAATAAACCGAGGGGAGGGAGGAATGTTCTGCTCTGGTCAGACCTCACCTGGAGTACTGTGTCCAGTTCTGGGCACCACAGTTCAAGAAGGACACTGACAAACTGGAACGTGTCCAGAGGAGGGCAACCAAAATGGTCAAAGGCCTGGAAACGATGCCTTAGGAGGAACGGCTAAGGGAGCTGGGCATGTTTAGCCTGGAGAAGAGGAGGTTAAGGGGTGATATGATAGCCATGTTCAAATATATAAAAGGATGTCACATACAGGAGGGAGAAAGGTTGTTTTCTGCTGCTCCAGAGAAGCGGACACGGAGCAATGGATCCAAACTACAAGAAAGAAGATTCCACCTAAACATTAGGAAGAACTTCCTGACAGTAAGAGCTGTTCGACAGTGGAATTTGCTGCCAAGGAGTGTGGTGGAGTCTCCTTCTTTGGAGGTCTTTAAGCAGAGGCTTGACAACCATATGTCAGGAGTGCTCTGATGGTGTTTCCTGCTTGGCAGGGGGTTGGACTCGATGGCCCTTGTGGTCTCATCCAACTCTATGATTCTATGTTAAGGTACCTCAGGTTACATACACTTCAGGTTACATATGCTTCAGGTTACAGACTCCGCTAACCCAGAAATAGTGCTTCAGGTTAAGAACTTTGCTTCAGGATGAGAACAGAAATTGTGCTCCGGCGGCGCGGCAGCAGCAGGAGGCCCCATTAGCTAAAGTGGTGCTTCAGGTTAAGAACAGTTTCAGCTTAAGAATGGACCTCTGGAACAAATTAAGTACTTAACCTGAGGTACCACTGTATAGAATTGTACATATGGTTGATTTGAATATGTTATTATTGATTATGTATACCCAATGTATCAGCTGCCTGGGGGGGTTTCACTGTTTTGTTTTCACTCTTTGTGTTTTGGTGGTTGGTAAAAAAATAAAAATTTTAAAAAAGAGGAAAAAGAAGGCATCTCCACCTGTGGATAAAAATGGACTCTGGACACAGAAGGACCATGTGGACATGGGGGTCTTAACTGGGGTGGGGGCTGAAGTTGCAAGATGTCCCCTTGAAAGTGGGGGTTATTCCAGGTTGAAGTCTTAACTGCGCACTCCTGCAATGCTGTCCACTTTGGAGACACAAAGATGGGTTCACACTGGGCATTTTTCACCCATCTAAGGACAGTCCCATAGGAGCCTTTTGAGAGCTGGTCGCCTCCCCCCTTAGATGCCATGGAAAGGACATTTTTCAAGGAGAAACAGCCCCCCCCCAATTATACCTCAATCTAAGCTGCTATTATGAGCAGTCACGAAATTAAAAAACGCCTGCTTCTCGGGAGAAAAGCAATGACAAACCTAGACAGCATCTTAAAAAGCAGAGACAATCACCTTGCCAACAAAGGCCCCTATAGTAAAAGCTATGGTTTTCCCAGTAGTGATGTATGGCAGTGAGAGCTGGACCATAAAGAAGGCTGATCGCCGAAGAATGGATGCTTTTGAATTCTGGTGCTGGAGGAGACTCTTGAGAGTCCCATGGACTGCAAGAAGATCAAACCTCTCCATTCTGAAGGAAATCAGCCCTGAGTGCTCACTGGAAGGACAGATCCTGAAGCTGAGGCTCCAAGACTTTGGCCACCTCATGAGAAGAGAAGACTCCCTGGAAAAGACCCTGATGCTGGGAAAGATGGAGGGCACAAGGAGAAGGGGACGACGGAGGACGAGATGGTGGGACAGTGTTCTCGAAGCTACCAGCATGAGTTTGACCAAACTGTGGGAGGCAGTGGAAGACAGGAGGGCCTGGCGTGCTCTGGTCCAGGGGGTCACAAAGAGGCGGACACGACTAAACAACGACGAGAGCAAACGGCAAGCATTGTGACTCAGTGGCCTGCTTTGCATTCAGATCGCCACCATTTCCTGGTAAGACCGGGCGAGTCTCCTGCCTTGAACCCTGGCAAGCTGCTGTTGGTCAGAGTACACAATATTGACCTAGAAGGACCCATGATCTGGCCCGTGCATGTGTGGTATGTTCCTTCCTGCGTTATGCACCATTCAATTCTGCAACCCGCTCCCATTGAGCCCCTTCAGAATCCGCTCAGCTGCCTGCTCAGTGCCAACGTGCCAACCACCTTGTCTACGTCCCACAGGTGGCAGCATCCTTTGCCAAGCTGGTGCCCTCCAGCTGATTTGGGCTACCACTCTCGCCAGGTTAAAAGTGGATACGGTGAGGATCTATAATGAATTTAAAAAGATGCTTAAATATACATTCCCCAAAAAGCCTGAAGAGCTATTGCTAGGTTTGATAGGAGAGGATTTTAAGAAGATGGACAAAAGATTTGTATGCTACGACAGCTGCCAGAGTTTTGGAAAATGGAAAACACATGAGATACCAACTTTGAAGGATTGGCAGACAAAGTTGGTCGAGTACGTGGAATTAGCAAAACTGACCCATAGGATTCGTAGTCAGGAGGAAACAAAGTACCAAAAAGAATGGAGTAAATTTATGGTCTATATAAGTGAGAACTGTAGAAATTTGAAGACGTTAGCAGGACTGAAATAAATCTTATGTCATGGTTTAGTTATTATTAAGGAACTGTGGATTAGGGATTGGAATAAGAAAACCTGCGGAAGGGAAGGAGGGAAGTCAACCGCTCCACGGAGCGTAAAGTAAGACAGATGTAAAAGGATTTGAAATATTTGTGTATTTTGATGGTGGTGGTGTATTTGAAATGAAAACTTAATAAAAAGCATTTTAAAAAAGTGGGTACGGTGAGACTGCCCTCCTCCAGACCACCTCCTCCCGGAACTCTCCCCCATCCATCACGATTTAAAACATTTCATTGTTTATTATTCAACACAGTAAACCAAAACAACCAAAATAGTAAAAGTTTGGAGATTATTATTATTATTTTAAAAAGGACACAATTTCTGAGGACCGTCCCTGCACTGTAAAAAAGCAACATCTGCAAGATGTACGGAAACGGTGTCCAGCTCACCTGAAATAGAAATACGTAGCAGGTGCAGAGAGTACGAAAACCCCTTTGAGTCCAATCTTTTGCTGAAAGGGAAAACCACACATGCCTGCCTCTCCCCCAGCACAAACACACCGTGCAGACCCTAGAGGACCCCAAGCAAGGAACCTGTTCTATGAACAAAGCCATTTCCCCTCTTCCTTGTACCTGCAGGCCCTCTGGGGCAACCCGGTCAGATGTGTGGGGTACCAATCATAAAATTATTATTATTATCCATCGGTGTTCATGCGCTCCAATGATGTCCACTGCCGTTTGCTCAAGTTTCCATGTGTTTTAAGAAATCCCTTTACAGTAAAACCAACGTCCCGATCCCTGACTTGCCCCTTCTTCTTCCCGTCCCCTCCCACCCCCCCAATTTTAGTAAAAACCCAAACCCACAAACGTAACCCTAAGTCAGTCCACCTGCCGGGCCAGCAGGTCCGCTCCCCCATCACACCACGGAGCTGACCTCAGTGGGGGCGCTCAAGTTCTCTGCCACGTCCGCCCTCTCGATGGCCGCCAGGGCCGCGTAGAGGGACTCCAGCGTGGCCCCTTCCTTGGCCGACCAATCGGAGAGCAGGGTGTGGGCGGGGGCCTCTCCCCGGCCGAAGGCGTCGATGGTCTCTTCCTCGTAGCCCAGGTAGTTGGCCAGGCAGCGCCAGTCTTTGCCGTGGGCGGGGGCTTCCAGAAGCTGCTCCACCTCTTCCTGCTTGTGGGGCGGCACGTTCGTGTACAGGCGGGGTTCAATCCTGTGCCCTGTTTTGCGTGGAGAAAGAGGGGGGAAGGTCAGAGAGGATATCACCCATTACAGGCGCCACGTAATACCTGTTCCAAGATTGTGGCAGCAACTAAACTTTGAAACTCCCTGCCTATTGACATTCACTGTACCCTTTTTTGCACCGGCTAAAAACATATTTATTTAAGCAAGCCAACCCAGATACTCAGAAACGCTGATTTGCATTTTGATCTGCTTTCGGTTTCTTGCCGGTTTTATGTTTTGAATGCTTTAAATAGCGGCTTTTAACTGTTTTCACCCCCCAAAAAATTATTGTTTCATTCTGAGGTCTGTTACAATCAAGAAGTATAAAAATTTCATGTAAGAAACAAAACTTATTGGACTTATTTGTGTCTTTAAAAAAACAATCAGGATGCAGATTCAAAGTGACTTGTAATTCAAACATTAAAAGAAAAAAGGAAAATGAAACAAAATAAAAAATAAAAATATTAATCTAAAAATAACCTGTCTCATCTTAGCTGTGCATCTCTTTGATGACAAATGCTGCTGTATAAAGAGGTTCATTTTGTATGTAGGTTTCGTTTTATTTGTTTTTCATCTTATATTTTGGAAACTTACATCCAGTTTTTTCTCCTTTAAATTGTTTTGGGGGCCCCCAAGAGAGTGGGGCCCAAAGCTAAAGCTTGTTTAGCTTATACGTAAATCCGGCACTGGCCTGGGGGGTGACGTTCGGCGCGCCACCCGCGATTCTGAAGCCTACCCCGAGCCATCGATGTGTGCGTGGGGTGTGTGTGACCAAAAAAAAATTCTGCACCGGGTACCACCTCACCTCGCTACGCCACTGCCTGCGGCAGTTTGGGCCAGGGTGCGCCAGCCACAAATCACGCCGCCCTGTTTGTGCTTGGGGAAACCCTGGGGGCACAAGCCTTGCCTCGCCAGAATGGTGCATGCTCTAGTTATCTCCCACTTGGACTACTGCAATGCGCTCTACGTGGGGCTACCTTTGAAGGTGACCTGGAAACTACAACTAATCCAGAATGCTGCAGCTAGACTGGTGACTGGGAGCGGCCGCTGAGACTATATTACACCAGTCTTGAAAGACCAACATTGGCTCCCAGTACGTTTCTGAGCACAATTCAAAGGGTTGATGTTGACCTGTAAGGCCCTAAACAGCCTCGGCCCGGTATACCTGAAGGAGCGTCTCCACCCCCATCGTTCAGCCTGGCCACTGAGGTCCAGCGATGAGGGCCTTCTGGCGGTTTCCTCATTGCGAGAAGCAAAGCTACAGGGAACCAGGCAGAGGGCCTTCTCAGTAGTGGCGCCCGCCCTGTGGAACGCCCTCCCACCAGATGTCAAAGAGAACAACAACTACCTGACATTCAGAAGACATCTTAAGGCAGCCCTGTTCAGGGAAGTTTTTAATGTGTGACATCTTAGTGTATTTTTTGTCTTTGTGGAAGCTGCCCAGAGTGGCTGGGGAAACCCAGCCAGATGGGTGGGGTACAAATAATAAATGATGATGATGATTAATATTATTACCCTTCTTGGGAAGGTGCTGATCCTGCAGGCTGTGGGTGTCGAGGAAGACCCCGCTGTCGCTGTGAAGTTTCTCACCCTCCGGGGACGTCACCAGTTCGCCCGCTCGGGCCTTGGCCAGCTGCCTCTTCTGCTTGCATGTGCTCCAGCTGCAATCGTGCCGAAAAGGATGGAGGGGGACACACGGATGTCAGCGAGGGGCGCAGAGCAGGGAGAGGTGAACCCCAGATCTCCCCCCAAACCCGCCCCCCCCCCACGAAAGCTACCAATCGCTTCTGCCTCGCCCTGAAGACCCCAACCAGGAAAGCAGTGTGGCTTAGTGGGGGAGAATCTGACTTGCGTGAAGGGTAAAAATCAAGACTGGAGTAAATTTACGGACTATTTGAAAAGCAATTGTGACGAACAAATGACGCTCGTTAGGTTTGCAAGAAGTTTTGTAAGGCATATTGCAAAAAAGATAAGGAGGAGAATTATTGGTTAAGGATAACGAAAGGTAATATGAAATTAAGAAATGCACAAGAAGTGGTAAAGAACGGAAAATCGTCAGAGATGTTGACGTAAGTCCAAAAATATTGTATAAGATGAGAAGTTACGCTGTATGAATGTTGGAATTAATATGTTAAAAAACTAATAAAAATATATATTTTTTAAAAAAAATATCAATTATTTAAAAAATAAATTAATTAATAAAATGAATTGATTGGTTTTATTTTATTTCAATCGGGTTTTTAAAATAAAATGCTTTTGGAGGAAAACTCTTTCTAAAGATAGTTTTTCTATTTAAGTTACATTCTAGTCCAAAGGCTATTCATCAGGAAATGAGGATTTCATGTGTGATAAAACTCAGCCTGTTGTTTTTTAAAAAAAGGTTTAACCACATCAGTTAACAAATATGGATACATATGCTATATTGTTGCTTTAGTTAAATAAGTTGTTTAAATTGTTATTAAGGAAATGATTGTTTTTCTCCTTCCAATGAAGGACAGCAGAAAAGTTGCCCAAATATAAACAGTTAACTTATTAAACCCCACAAGTCTTATTATTGGGGGGGGGGCAGAATCCCCTTATTATGTGCATGGCCAGAAATGGACATAGAGGACACTCCCCGCCTTCTATGAACCGTTGCAACTGCGCCCCAAATTACCTTGAGCTGAACTTCCCCTTTATCTCCCTTTCCATCCTTCTGCACACCCACCAGCCGGTTTCCGCTCCCTCTCTCCTCCTTTCCTGCCAGTTCCCCCATCCCCTTCTCCTCCTCCTCCTTCCTGACCCAGCTGTTTTCCACTCTGCCCCCACAGAATTCCGCCAGGATTTTCTGGGCCATCTGTCTTCAGATGCCAGCAGGGGAGAGAATTGATGCAGGCTTATTATCCCAGACTTGGAGGGCCTGTGGAGAGGAGAGCAAGGGCTTCTCGCGCCCCCCCTCCCCAGCCACTGACACCGGCTCCGCGGCAGATGAGCTTGCAGCCCCCACCCCGCCAGTTTAGACCATCCTCTGTTGTCGTCGTGGTCTTCTTTGGCGATCCCCACCTTCTATACAAATAGTCATCTGGGGTAAGAAACCCTTGCGTTATTCTCTCAACGCCAGAATCGGGGTTAGGGCAGCCTTTTCCCAGTACAGCGGTACCTCGCTTCAGGTTACAGACTCCGCTAACCCAGAAATAGTGCTTCAGGTTAAGAACTTTGCTTCAGGATAAGAACAGAAATCGTGCTCCGGCGGCACGGCAGCAGCAGGAGGCCCCATTAGCTAAAGTGGTGCTTCAGGTTAAGAACGGACCTCCGGAACAAATTAAGTACTTAACCCGAGGTACCACTGTAGTGATGTATGGAAGTGAGAGCTGGACCATAAAGAAGGCTGATCGCCAAAGAATGGATGCTTTTGAATGACGGTGCTGGAGGAGACTCTGGAGAGTCCCATGGATTGCAAGAAGATCAAACCTATCCATTCTTAGGGAAATCAGCCCTGAGTGCTCACTGGAAGGACAGATCGTGAAGCTGAGGCTCCAAGACTTTGGCCACCTCATGAGAAGAGAAGACTCCCTGGAAAAGACCCTGATGTTGGGAAAGATGGAGGGCGCAAGGAGAAGGGGACGACAGAGGACGAGATGGCTGGACAGTGTTCTCAAAGCTACCAGCATGAGTTTGACCAAACTGCGGGAGGCAGTGGAAGACAGGAGTGCCTGGCGTGCTCTGGTCCAGGGGGTCATGAAGAGGCGGACACCACTAAACGACTAAACAACAACAACAACATCTGATCACTTGCCTGCATAGTGCTATTCCGTATGGATTTAATTAAAAAGCAAACTCTCTCTCTCTATACACACACACACACACACACACACATATATATATTGGGGAGTGAAGCACACTAAGGTTGGGGAAACATTCATGTTCTTGCTCTGTTTTACTTTTTCATTTAATCCTTTGTTTCTTCCTCTTTGTTCTTTCCTGGCATCTCTGTACAGTGGTACCTCAGGTTAAGTACTTAATTCATTCCAGAGGTCTGTTCTTAACCTGAAACTGTTCTTAACCTGAAGCACCACTTTAGCTAATGGGGCCTCCTGCCACCGCCGCGCCGCCGGAGCACAATTTCTGTTCTTATCCTGAAGCAAAGTTCTTAACCTGAAGCACTATTTCTGGGTTAGCGGAGTGTGTAACCTGAAGCGTATGTAACCTGGGTTTCCACTGTAATACTTCTGGGAATCTTATTTAAAACGGGGGGGGGGGGGAGGGATGAGCAGGGAGGAACAGAGAACACCATCTTGGAAGAACGGAACGGAAGCTTTTAAAAAATTCTTTTCTAAACCAGTCCTAAAAGAATGGGGCACCCGTAAGCAGGATTCGAACATAAGAGCGTTCTCTCCTTCTGCGGTTTCCGACCATGCTTCTGACTACGGAGGCTGAGCTTAGCCATCGATAGCCCTCCATCAATTTGTCCAATCCTCTTTTAAAGTCAGATAGGTTGGTGGCCTGTGGCAGGGAGTTCCACAGGCTAACTCTACGCTGGGTGACGAAGGGTTTTCTTTTCTCTGCCCCAAACCTTCCAACGTTCAGCTTCGTCCCACGAGTTCTACTGCCATAAGAAAGTTTAAGAAAGCTTTTCTCTAATCAACTCTGGCCAGGACATGCATAATCTCACGTCTCTCCTCTTTCTTCCCTTTTCTCTAAACGGTCCTTTTCCTCATAACAGGATTTGCTCCATCCCCTTCATTTTTCCCCAACCTCTTCCAACTCCGCTTTGAGGCAAGGCGACCAGAACGTGGGACCCGCAGTGTTCCGAACGCACCCCAGATTTTTAAAACTGATAACAGACCACTGAGCAAATTTGGAAGAGGAGACCCCCTGCCACGTGGAGAGCTGGCGGACATTGCTGCAAAACCGCAAACGTTTGCGCTGCAACATTGTGTGTGTATGTGTGTGTGTGCTTTTTTGGGAGGTGGTCCAACAGGGCGATGCCAGGAAGCGGGGTGCAGATGGGGCCGGAGGAAACGTCTCGGAAACTGACCGCTGCGTGGGAAAAGATTGGCTCCTCTCCTCCCCAAAGAGAGGGGGGCCGACGGCGTCACCTCGCACTAAATTTACGAGGGGAAATCAGAAGCGGGAGGCGGATTTGGGGAGCCAGGGGAGAGCAGTTGTGGGGCCGTCGGCCGCAGCCAAATCTATAGAGCCCCGAGCAGCAGGAGGGGCCTGGGATTGGGGGTCCGTCGGTGTGAGAGGAATGTATAAAGAGCGAGAGCCCCGCGAGGGGGTGAGGCGGCTCGGAGGGAAATAAATCTGCCCCAAAAGCCGGCACAAAGGGGGAGTTTTGCCCGTTCCCAATAGAACAGCAAGCGACTGGGCTTCTTTTCAGCCAAACCCCATTAATCTCAGCCTCCCCGGCTGGCGAGAGAAGAGACTGGCCTAATCTGGACCACAGCATCCCAGCGCCGGGCTTAATCCTATTCAGGCGACAGGCCCCAGCGGCGAGACCCAGCCCAGCGGGGAGGGCGGCCTCTCCCCATATTTTCGGATAATGCTGTGTGTGTGTGTGTCTTTTTGCAACTCTATTGTGGCCAAGTCGCTGCCTCGCCGGGACTCAACAGAGCACCTGGGCTCAGATGAAAATGGGGGGAAAATGTTGATGGTGATTTTATGTAAACTGTGTTATTTTTACTGTGGTTAGCCGCTCTGAGCCCGGCTTCGGCTGGGGAGGGCGGGATATAAATAAAATATTATTATTATTATTATTTTAGGATTTTTTAAATGCTGGTTTTAATGTGTGCCCAGAGTGGATGGGGAGACTCAGCCAGATGGGCGGGGTATAAATAATAAATTGTTGTTGTTTGTTGTTAAATTGTTGTTGTTGTTGTCTTTTTCATGTTTGCTGTGTGCAAAGCCTGCCTGGGAGCTGAGTGCGCAGTTCTGAAGGGGAGCCTTCAGAATAATAATAATAATAATAATAATTATTATTATTATTATTATCCGTGACCAGGGAGAAGAGTCGGTGGAAGAAGATTGGAAGAAATTTAAAGATTACCTACAGAAATATTGCAAAATTAAAGAATGTTAGAGTGATGATGGATTGAAACTAAGTGGTTTCTAGCTGTACAGGCTTTAAAGTTATATACAGATCAAGATTAAGGATTAGGAGTAAAAAGGTTAAAAGAATGGAAAATTGGCTATTAATAGATAAAAATTTAATGTTATATTATATTAAGATCAAGGATTGGGATTAAAAAGGAGGGAAAGGAATTGCTGGACAAACAAAACTGAATTGGAATACAAAAGAGGGAGGTATGAGGAGGTCCAGAAAATAAGTAAATTCAAAAGTAGTGATGAAAAGATGGAATTGTTTTTAACTGCTTTTTCTTTTTTTTCCTGTATTTTGTATTGTGTATTTTTCTTATTATTTTTAATTTTTTTCCTTATTGATGTGTTTCTTTTTATGTGAAATTTTAATAAATATCATTAAAAAAAACCACAGAATTATTATTATTATTATTATCATCATCATCATCATCATCGTTTCCAATCCTGCAAGTTGCTTTGAGCTGCCGTGCCCAAAGAGCCCCATCTTAAATCTAAATAATAATAATAATAATAATAATAATCTGTGCAAACGCTCCTGCTTACTCTCCACTCCAAGTGTGCTCCAACCACTAGCCTGCGCAGCCGCAAAGGCACATTGCTTGCCAAAATCCCCTATACACGCCCGTCCCACCCTGAGCGTCCCAGACCTACGATTTGAAAGCCACGTAGGCAAGGAGTCCCACCACCACGGCCGCCAGGATGGAGCAGTAGACGGGGATGATGTTCTTGCTGTTGTCCTCGGCCAACGGTGGCACGAACTCTGAAGAGGACGCATTGGGGGCAAGGCTGCTTTCTGAATCCAGAAGCGGCGTCTTTTTGGGGAATTCCTTCCGGGCCTCGCCCTCGCTGCGTTTCAGGATCTGAAGCTCTTTATCTGGAAAAAGAAGCGCCAAAGTTATTAAGTGGGGAGGTTGATCAATAAGAACCACATTGCTTGACAACACTGCCAGTCTGGTGCCACGTGCGCCAGTCATGTTGACAAAGGTTGCGTTTGGAAAAACGGGGGTTTGCAGGAATCTTTGGGGACAACAAACAACACAAAAAACACGAAAACTGTATACTAGATAGCACTGCAATTCTTATTGCATGATATACATGATTTAGTACAACAAAAACACAGTGTGTACACTTGTAAATTCTCTAATATATTTGAAATAAATGAACACATGTCTGTCACTCTTTGAAAGTCCGTAGAAGCATAATAAGTCTATGGTTGAAACATAATAATAGATGCTATCCTGTGGGCTAAGCGGTAAAACTTTTTTTAGGTGCCGAAGTAGTAAGTGAATAACAACGTAGGACAGTGATCCCGGATAATCTGACTGTTTCGCTGGAATCTTCTTCAGCGCAACTACAAAAGAATTCAAATATGAAACAATGACCTGTGTACATGAAAACGATATAAACTTCACACATTACAACCCATATGCTACAATTACAAAAAGAACAAAGGTTGTTGTTTAGTCATTTAGTCGTGCCCGACTCATCATGACCCCCTGGACCACAGCACGCCAGGCACTCCTGTCTTCCACTGCCTCCCAGTTTGGTCAAACTCATGCTGGTAGCTTCGAGAACACTGTCCCACCATCTCGTCCTCTGTCGTCCCCTTCTCCTTGTGCCCTCCATCTTTCCCAACATCAGGGTCTTTTACAGGGAGTCTTCTCTTCTCCTGAGGTGGCCAAAGTCTTGGAGCCTCTGCTTCAGGATCTCTCCTTCCAGTGAGCACTCAGGGCTGATTTCCTTCAGAATGGAGAGCTTTGATCTTCTTGCAGTCCATGGGACTCTCAAGAGTCTCCTCCAGCACCAGAATTCAAAAGCATCCATTCTTCGGCAATCAGCCTTCTTGATGGTCCAGCTCTCACTTCCATACATCACTACTGGGAAAACCATAGCTTTAACTATACGGACCTTTGTTGGCAAGGTGAGGTCTCTGCTTTTTAGGATGCTGTCTAGGTTTGTCATCGCTTTTCTCCCAAGAAGCAGGCGTCTTTTAATTTCGTGGCTGCTGTCATCATCTGCAGTGATCATGGAGCCCAAGAAAGTAAAATCTCTCAGTGCCTCCATTTCTTCCCCTTCTATTTGCCAGGAGGTGATGGGCCCAGTGGCCATGATCTTCATTTTTTTGATGTTCAGCTTCAGACCATATTTTGTGCTCTCCTCTTTCACCCTCATTAAAAGGTTCTTTAATTCCTCCTCACTTTCTGCCATCAAGGTTGTGTCATCTGCATATCTGAGGTTGTTGTCAAAATATACATTTATTTAAAAAAACCACAAGCATTTTTACTTGGCGTTGTAGGGGAGGATATTAATAGACAGGATTGTAAAATGTTTTTATATGCAATAACGGCAGCAAGAATATTACTGGCACAAAAATGGAAACAAGAAGAATTACAGACGAAATAGGAGTGGGAGACAAAATTAATGGACTATGCAGAATTAGACAAACTGACAGTATGGGGAATTAGGGAAGGGTTAGTACCTCTGGTGGGGGACACATCATGCTCTTAATGTCCACTCAGCAATCACCTGTGGCTCCTAGCTCTCCCTGCAACTGTTGGTGCCGTAGGAATGATGGGCCAATGATTCTATAATATCCTCTCTGAGGCTCCTTTGTCACAAGCAACTGAGCACATCCCATGTATTTAAAGCACATTAAAATGCACATGCCCCCCCCAAGAATACTGGGAATTGTAGCGCTGGGAATTGTAGCTAGGCGAGGGGCAAACGACAGTTGCTGTGATTATTCGAGGAAGGAATGTGCTTTCAATGCACAGTGTATAGGCAGCCATGGGGTGTTAGGGGGGCAATAAGTCTGGTAGTCTAGGGACGCAGGTGGCGCTGTGGGTTAAACCACAGAGCCTGAGGCTTGCCGATGGGAAGGTCAGCGGTTTGAATCCCCACGACGGGGTGAGCTCCCGTTGCTCGGTCCCTGCTCCTGCCAACCGTGCGCTGCTCTGGTTCGCCAGAAGTGGCTTAGTCATGCTGGCCACATGATCCGGAAGCTGTACGCCGGCTCCCTTGGCAAGTAGATAAATAGGTACCACTCCGGCGGGAAGGTAAACGGCGTTTCCGTGCGCTGCTCTGGTTTGCCACATGCTGGCCACATGATCCGGAAGTTGTACGCCGGCTCCCTCGGCCAATAAAGCGAGATGAGCGCTGCAACCCCAGAGTCGGCCACGACTGGACCTAATGGTCAGGGGTCCCTTTACCTCTACCTTTAAGTCTGGAAGGGGGACACATCATGCTCTTCTGGGGCAGTTTGTCGTCCTTTGGTCTCCAGACTGCACTCAGCTCTCACCTGTGCCTCCCAGGAGCTGTGACACGCGGCCACAATCCTGGGAAACGGCTTCGACTGGCTGGCTAAACCAGGTGATGGTGGCTGATGGGTCTCAAACCCTCAAAGAGTTAGGAACTTCGCCTGCATGTGAAGACAGGCTCTGATGGATGGAGCAGACGAGAACAAGAGTTGGTCCAGCGGTCAAGAAGGCCAGTTTCTGTTCCCAAAATGGAAACAGCAACAAACAAACCTATGGTCACGTAAAGCATCCTCAATAAAAACACGAGACGTAAGCAGCTGTGTTCTTAGATAAATAAGGTATACTATTCATTCTATCAAATTGTAAATTTCAACGGAAGTAACTTACAAAGTTCAACAAACAAACAAAGCCGAAGACCCAGTGGATCGGATCATTCTCTAGTCAGTTCATGCATAAGGTCCATCTATGTAATGGTGTCTATTCCACCTGTCCGTTCATAAAGTCCAAACAGTCAACATGAAAGGTTGTTACAGTTCCACAAAATCCTTTCACAGAGTCTAAGACAAGGATTTCCGGAATATTGGCCTTGTTTTGCCGTCTTGGGCTTCATCAGAAGTTAAAGAACATGTGTTATATTACAAGACAGTAGATCTTATGGCATAGTAGTCGCTGTGGTATACAATGAATAGTACAGTGGTGCCTCGCAAGGCGAAATTAATTCGTTCTGTGAGTTTTTTCGTCTTGCGATTTTTTTCGTCTTGAGAAGCACGGTGTCGGAAAAGTTTTGGAAAAGCTTCAAAAATCACCAAAGTCTTCAAAAACCTCAACAAAGGCTACCACACCGCGTGCTATGAGTTGCTCCTCGAAGTCAAGTCGCAACTGTATTAACGGTTTTAAGAAAAAGGAAACAAACTTGCAAGACGTTTCCGTCTTGCAAAGCAAGCCCACAGGGAAAATTGTCTTGCGAAGCAACTCAAAAAACCAAAGCCCTTTCGTTTTGCGAGTTTTCCGTCTTGCGAGGCATTCGTCTTGCGAGGTACCACTGTATACCTTATTTATCTAAGAACACAGCCAGTTACATCTCGTGTGTTTACTGAGGATGCTTTACGTGACCATAGGTTTGTTTGTTGTTGTTTTATCCAAAATGGAAACAGCAAGAAGTCCCAACGAAAGAAGAGTGGCAGATTATGATGGACTTTGCAGAACTGGTGAAGCTGGCAGGAAAAATCCGAAACCAGCACGTATTCAAGTATTCCAAAAGGACTAGGGTAAATTTATACGATGTTTGAAAGATCATTGTAAGCAATTAACATCACTAGCAGGGTTGTCTGAAGACTTGCAATGAGAAATTTTCTATCTTTATTTAAATTTTGAGTCATTCTGCAATGAGTGTAATTAGAATTGGGAAACGTATAAATGGCAATGATATAAAGGTTAATTTTGAAAGTCAACAGGCTCTAAGAGCCAGAGCAGTACAGTGGTACCTCGGGTTACAGACGCCTCAGGTTACAGACTCCGCTAACCCAGAAATAGTACCTCAGGTTAAGAACTTTGCTTCAGGATGAGAACAGAAATCGTGTGGCAGCGGTAGGCCCCATTAGCTAAAGTGGTACCTCAGGTTAAGAACAGTTTCAGGTTAAGAACAGACCTCCAGAACGAATTAACCCGAGGTACCACTGTATAGTGGATAATGATGATGTGAATGTAAAATATTAATTGGGGGAAAATAAAAATTATAGATAGATAAATAGATAGAGATAGATACAGTGGTACCTCTGGAAATGAACGGGATCCGTTCCAGAGCCCCGTTCGCATCCTGAAGCGAATGCAATTCGCGTCTGCGCGTGCCGCAATTCGCCGCTTCCGCACATGATGTCATTTTGACCGTCTGCGCATGCGTGAGCGGCGAAACCCGAAAGTAACACATTCTGTTACTTCCGCAACCCGAAAACTCTCAACCTGAAGCAACTTCAACCCGAGGTATGACTGTAGATAGATAGATGGCACGTGCCGTAGAGCAAATGATGATAGAGGTCATCATCTTGGGAAGGGAGCCTGTCTAAGAGAAGGAAATATCTGATCCTAAACCTCTGCTAACTTGCAGGATATCATTGGGAGTAGGAGAGGCTAAGAGGTGAAGCCTACATAAATCCAGACTGGGGTCCCTAAGGCAGTTGGATGGCGCCTTGTACGCCTCCTTCTGGCAGCCAAGCGGGTGCCCAACATCTTACTCTGTTTTTCTCAGTGAAGCTGAGAGGAGGGTCTTGTTGTCTGGGCAGCCCAGGACCTCCAGACTCACTGCCCAGGCTTGCACCCCTTGGAGGTCGCTTGGCTGCCGCTATCGCAGCGGTTTGTCTCAACCCCTGGAAGCGCACTAATGTCTCTGTGTTTTGTCCAAGAGGGATTTCTTGTGCGATCCTGATCTAAACCTGTCAGGAAGGTCGAAAAATAGCTTTGCGGGGAGCCTAGTGGTAGGGCCAGCTCTGCCGTTATCCCAAAATCAGGACGATGATGGAAGTTGTAGTCCAGAGACCCCTGGGACAAGGGGCACAGGTTCCTCAGCCCGGCTTTGAGTGTGGCCGTTGTTCCGTATATCCATAGCTGTCAACTTACAGATTTGAAAATAAGGGAACAGCAGCTTCGGAAATAAGGGATCAGCAGCCAAAATAAGGGATTTTCCGGACACAGGTATGTCCGAGCCAAAGGCAGAAAGCCCAGCCAGCAGCCAAACAAAGCCTCAAGCGGTGGTTCCCACAGCGCAGCAACCCAGCAAAGGGGAAGCAGCAAGGAAAACCACCGTCACCTCTCCGCTGGGAAGCGCTGAGCAAAGGCGAGTCCCCAGGCAACACGGCCGATTTGATCGGCACAAGGCATGCAAGCTCCACCCCCCAGTCGTTCTTAGACTCCTTATTGGGTGAGCAACGCAGCCAAGCAACACAGTTGGAGCCTCCCTCCTCCCTGGCCGGCAGGGAGGGAGGGAGAGGAGCTGCTTCCTTTGAAACCCGGGAAATTTAAGGGACATCATCAATAAGGGACAGCAGCGGGACACGGCGCAGGGATAAGGGAGTTTCCCGCCAAATAAGGGACGCTTGACAGCTATGCATATATTCCAAAATCCACAGTATGAAAGGCAACAGTCCAACATTCATGAAGGCCATGTCCAGACCTCTACCCAAAGCCATTTGGCCTCGTTTCTTCTGCCTCTGTGCCCTAGCGCACTTTGCTTGCGACGTTCACAGCCAAAGGAGACGATCTGACGGTTGTCTCTGCCAAAGCGAAGTGAAGAAAGGGAATCTGTTCTCTCTTGCAGAGAAACAGAGAAAATGAAAGCATTTTGGGGGATCGGAGTGGGGGATTGCTGTAAAGCTCAGGCTATTTTCTCAAAATAAAAGAAGCTCTCTTCTATAGTAGCTTTCAGACATTTTATTCTCATTCTGAGCGAGAGCTTGATGTCAGCTTCCCAAAACGTAGCAGGCGAGTTTATTTTTTTTCTTTGCAAGAATAAGCAAGATTTGTCATCTAAAGCAAGCAGCAGCGAGGTTACACCAATGTGGTTAGGGTGCTGGGAGACCGGGGTTCAAATCTCCGCTCAAGCTCACCGCGTGACCTTGAGCCGATCAATCTTTTCTACCTCGCAGGGTTGTTGTAAGAATAAAACGCAGAAGGGGACAAAGTATACCGCCTTGAGCTACTTAAGAGGAAAGGTGGGGTATGTATGTCATAGTAATTTAAAAAGCAGGACAGAGGATTTTCCATCTGAGGGAAGAACCTCGAAACCTGGAAAGGCGATGGGCTCTCCTTCGTCGGAGCTTTCCAAACAAAGGTTAGACAGCCATTTGTCAGGGATCCTTAAGCTACGATTCCTGCATTGCCGGCGGGTTAGACTAGATGATCCTTGAGGGTCCCTTCCAAATGTACAACTCTAGGATTCTATGGTTGATACATCCGCCAGAATTGAAGGTTTGGGGATCTGGAAGGACTTCTGAATCGCCGCACTTTTGCAGAAGCAACTTGGGGTCTACTCACCGGGAAAGTGCAAAGACGCTTTTGATGGAAGATCCCACGCCCTGAGAAATGTTTGGGAGGCAGAAGGCATTGCCAGCCTTGCCTGCAGAGGCCAGGGATTGAATTTGGGGTGTTCTGCAGGCAAGGACGCGGGTGGCGCTGTGGGTTAAACCACAGAGCCTAGGACTTGCAGATCAGAAGGTCAGCGGTTCGAATCCCCGCGAGGGGGTGAACTCCCGTTGCTCAGTCCCAGCTCCTGCCAACCTAGCAGTTCAAAAGCGCGTCAAAGTGCAAGTAGATAAATAGGTACCACTCCGGCGGGAAGGTAAACGGCGTTTCCGTGCACTGCTCTGGTTCGCCAGAAGCGGCTTAGTCATGCTGGCCACATGACCCAGAAAGCTGTCTGACGACCACGCTGCCCTTGGCCAGTAAAGCGAGATGAGCGCCGCGACCCCAGAGTCGGCCACGACTGGACCTAATGGTCAGGGGTCCCTTTACCTTTACCTGCAGGCAAGGAAGGGCTGCTCTGCAACTGATCTAAGGCCCTCACCCCCCAAAAAAGTATTCGCCGGCGCTGCCAGCTGACATTCTTCTACCTAAGAGATGCAAAGTTTTGAACCCGGGACATTCTACATGCAAGGCAGCTGCCCTTCCACTAAGCAACTGGTATCAGAGCCCATCCCTGGTTCGTATATCCTCACAGCGAGAGGAAGATATTTAGCTCCCCCAGAATCAAAGCGTCTCTGCAAATGTAGTAAACAGGAACCTGACACTTTGGTGCATATTTTCTTTTCTTGTGATTTTGGCATTTATGCCAGGAGAAAATTATTAGAGGCCTTACAACTTAATAGGCAGATTTCTATGCTACCAGTGGTTCAGGAACTGTTTTCGGACAAGAATGATCAAATTACTTTAATAGTGGCTGGATTTTTGAGTGCTGTCCATGTAGAAAGACTGAGCCATTATAAAGAGAATTAGTGGTTCTTAATTGATCGGGGATTCGGTAGTGCTGTAATGTATTATTTATGCAAATTGATTTCCTCTGGAGTCGAAGATCTGACTGGGACAAACCTTGTTATGTTGAGTTCGTATTTTGCACAATTTGTATATGGTGTCTGTTTGATAATGTGTGGTTTGCTATGCCTAATAAAGGATCTAACTCAAAAAATATCCTCACAGTAGCCCCCAGGAAGACAGCTTAAAAGTAACTCAAACCCTTAGTCTATCCAACCCAGTATTGCAGTGACCGGCACCAGCGCCAAAGGCCCAGGCTTTCAGACCGCGAGGCTTTCCCAGCTGTTAGGGAGACACCCTAGACAGCATCTTAAAAAGCAGAGACATCACCTTGCCAACAAAGGTCCGTATAGTTCAAGCTATGGTTTTCCCAGTAGTGATGTATGGAAGTGAGAGCTGGACCATCAAGAAGGCTGATCGCCGAAGAATGGATGCTTTTGAATGATGGTGCTGGAGGAGACTCTGGAGAGTCCCATGGACTGCAAGAAGATCAAACCTCTCCATTCTGAAGGAAATCAGCCCTGAGTGCTCACTGGAAGGACAGATCGTGAAGCTGAGGCTCCAAGACTTTGGCCACCTCATGAGAAGAGAAGACTCCCTGGAAAAGACCCTGATGTTGGGAAAGATGGAGGGCACAAGGAGAAGGAGATGACAGAGGATGAGATGGTTGGACAGTGTTCTCGAAGATACCAGCATGAGTTTGACCAAACTGCAGGAGGCCGTGGAAGACAGGAGGGCCGGGCGTGCTCTGGTCCAGGGGGCCACAAAGAGTCGGACACGACTAAACAACTAAACAACAACAACAGGGAGACACCCGGGGCTTAGCCTGGGGCCTTCTACATTCAAAGCAGCTGCTCTGTCAGGGAATTTGGGTCGTGTCCCCGAAACCCTGGATTCCAGCTTAGTTGCAAAGCCTCTTTCAATACCGTTAATAAATTTCAAGTTTAGGGGAGTGAGAAAACCAGGGCTGAGTTGGAGAGGACAGAAAATCAGGGGAGGGGGTTTGCAGAGATGGGTATACATGCTGTTGGAAAACTGAATATATTTCAGGGCGGGGGAACGACAGGGATAATTCCTACAATATTGTCGATAGGAGACTCGTTCCCCCTGCTGTTCTTTTCTGTCCTCCCCGCAAATCCCACAAGGGTCCTGTCTCATTCCGGGACTCGTTCACAGCCCCGTTTCTCCCCCCCTCCTCGCCACCAAACCACACACAAAACCGCCCCCAGCCCCACGGCTAGGAGCGAGAGACGCCGTTCCAAAAGGCGGCGAACATTAAGGAGCAAAAGCTTGAACGAACACGCAGAGGGAGGGGAGGTCGGCCGTGGAAACCTCTACGGTCTCGCCACGGAGGCCCCCACCCCACCAAAACTCTCCCATCCACACACTGCGAGGGATCGCAGCCTTCTCAGGACAGCAGGGTGCTCAGGGAGGGTGAATTGAGCAAGGAAGATGTGTGAGAGAGACAGCCAGGGTAGGATTAGGGGCAGGAGCAGAGGACAAAAGGTGGATTAGCCGCAGCCCAGGGAGACTCTGTTCTCGCAGACAAAAAACCGCAACTGTAGCTCCGAAACAAAGCTTGAAAGGCCTTGCGGGAGAGCGAGAGCAGCGAAGTTCACGGCGGCGGCGGACACAAGCGCTCCTCCCTCAGGGGAAAGTTTTCCTACAGTAGCAGCAAGATGGATGCCCAAATCAGCAAAGTCACCATCACCATCACCATCACCGATTATTTCTACACCACACATCTGGTTGGGTTTTCCCCAGACACTCTGGGCAGCTCCCAACACAATATTAAAAACACGATAAAACATCAAACATTAAAAACTTCCCTAAAGAAGGCTGCCTTCAGATGTCTTCTAAAAGTCAGACAGTTGTTTACAGTGGTACCTCGGGTTACAGACGCTTCAGTTTACAGACTCCGCTAACCTCGGGTTAAGAACTTTGCTTCCGGATGAGAACAGAAATCGTGCTCTGGCAGCACGGCAGCAGCAGGAGCCCCCGTTAGCTAAAATGGTGCGTCAGGTTAAGAACAGTTTCAGGTTAAGAACAGACCTCCGGAACGAATTAAGAACCGTATTTTTAGCTCTATAAGATGCACCAGACCACAAGACGCACCTAGATTTTGGAGGAGGAAAACAAGAAAAAAAATGTTCTGAATCTCAGAAGCCAGAACAGCAAGAGGGATCGCTGCGCAGTGAAAGCAGCAATCCCTCTTGCTGTTCCGGCTTCTGTGATAGCTGCGCAGCCTGCATTCGCTCCATAAGACGCAAACACATTTCCCCTTACTTTTTAGGAGGGAAAAAGTGAGTCTTATAGAGCAAAAAATACGGTACTTAACCCGAGGTACCACTGTATTTCCTTGACATCTGACAGGAAGGCGTTCCACAGGGCGGGCACCACCACCGAGAAGGCCCTCTGCCTGGTTCCCTGTAAACTCGCTTCTCGCACGGAGGGAACAGCCAGAAGGCCCTCGGAGCTGGACCTCAGTGTCCAGGCAGAACGATGGGGGTGGAGACGCTCCTTCAGGGATACAGAACCAATGCCGTTTAGGGCTTTGAAGAATAGCACCAACACTTTGAATTGTGCTCAGAAACGTACTGGGAGCCAGTGTAGGTCTTTCAAGACTGGTCTTATGTGGTCCCGGCAGCCACTCCCAGTCACCAGTCTAGCTGCCACATTCTGGATTAGTTGCAGTTTCCAGGTCACCTTCAAAGGTAGCCCCATATAGAGCGCATTGCAGTAGTCCAAGCGGGAGATAACCAGAGCATGCACCACTCTGGCAAGACAGTGCGCAGGCAGGTAGGGTCTCATCCTGCATACCAGGTGGAGCTGGTAAACAGCTGCTCTGGACACAGAATTGACCTGTGCCTCCATGGACAGCTGTGAGTCCAGAATGACTCCCAGGCTGCGCACCTGGTCCTTCAGGGGCACAGTTACCCCATTCAGTCCCCCACACCCATCTGCCCCCTGTCCCCCCAAAACAGTACAAGTCTTCCATGGGGAGCTTTCCCCAAGTCAGCGCCCTCCAAGTGTTTGGGACAATGGCCGGTTGATAGCAGTTGTAGCCCCAAACAAGGATTTAAATAAGAAATTCGTGGAAGAGAGGGCTATCAAAAGCTACTGGCCAGGATGGCAATTTTCTGCCTCCACAGTTGGAAGCAGCAATGCTTCTGGGTGAGAGTTGCTGGAAACCACAGAACGGGAAAGGGGTCCTGTATTCGAATCCTGCTTTTCAGAATCCTGCTTGGCCCCTGTGAGAACAGGTTGGACCACCAGCCTGATCCACGAGGGGAAGAGGGAAGTCCATGGGAAATCACGGAATTCTTCTTTTTGTTTTGGGTTGCTTGGTGATTGTAAATTTGAAAATTAAATAAATTTATATATAAAGAAGGAGGAGGCACTTTTTGTGTTCTTGTTCCGGCTGAATGATAATGTTCTTGGCAAACCTTCGACATCATTAACCGAGTGTACAGGATCATTTAAAAAAATATTCAGGCATTCCGAACATTTTACAATGTTTTCAAAGTTTCAGTTTGCCTTTTAAAAAAAAACCCCAAACCTGTATGGTTTTGCTGTCTGCAGCCCTAGGCTCCTTTGGAGAGGAAGTAGGAAAGACATTTAATAAACAGGTATACAGAAATGGCAATACTCAGAATAAGAACCTCATTTTTGGGGTGCACGTTTGGCTTATAAAAGTGCAATCTTCTCTATAAAATAATCTTTAATGTACCGTATTTTTCGCTCCATTGGACGCAGTTTTTCCCCTCCAAAAATTGAGGGGAAATGTGTGTGCGTCCTATGGAGCGAATGCAGGCTTGTGCCATAGCCACGCGCAACCCCTCTGGCAGGGAGAGGCTGAACAGGGCTATGGCTTCTTTAGCTCCACGCAGCCTCTCCCGGCAGGGAGGGATTGCGTGGGGCTAAAGAGGAAGCCAAAACAGCCAGCGCAATCCATCCCGCCCGCTGCCTTGGCTTGTGCCATAGCCGCGCACAACCCCTCCGGCAGCGAGAGGTTGTAGGCAGCCTGTACGCTGCTCTTTGGGGCTGGGGGGGGGAAGTTTTTTTTATTGATTTCCCCATCTAAAAACTAGGTGCGCCCTATGGTGCGAAAAATACGGTATGTGCATTCGGGGGCAGCGGGGTGTGTGCGTGTGTGTGGAGATTGTTCTACTAGCTGGACTAACAGTAATACCCAGATCCTCAGCTTTTGTTTCTTAAATGTTATAAGCACCTGTAGGACCTGAGATGTGAGGCAAAATGTGCAGACGCCATTCTAAGTTTTTGTGTGTGAGAGAAGCTGGCTTGCTCCCCAGTTTTCGTGCTTCCAAAAAAGAGGCTTTTGCACAGCCACTGTGCAAAACATGGGATAGGGGTGAGCAGTGGTAGAAATCCCCCAGGAACCAGGTGCATTTTGCGGCTGGCGAGGGTCCAATTGCGACCCACGTGGAGATCTCTGGGTGCCAGATCTGGGAGACTGACATCTCCATGCACCTGGCTGGTCCCTCCAGCTTTCTTAAGCAGGTCCATTCAGCACTGATGCCTCTCTGTTAGTTAAAAGGACCCCTGACCATTAGGTCCAGTCGTGGCTGACTCTGGGGTTGTGGCACTCATCTCGCTTTATCGGCCGAGGGAGCCAGCGTACAGCTTCCGGGTCATGTGGCCAGCATGACTAAGCCGCTTCTGGCGAACCAGAGCAGCGCACGGAAACGCCGTTTACCTTCCCGCCGGAGCGGTACCTATTTATCTACTTGCACTTTGACGTGCTTTCGAACTGCTAGGTTGGCAGGAGCAGGGACCGAGCAACGGGAGCTCACCCCGTCGCGGGGATTCGAACTGCTGACCAAAGCGCCTCATAATCTATTTGAAATAAATGAACACACGCCTGTCAATCTTTGAAAGTCTGCAGAAGTATAATAAGTCTATGGTTGTAACAAAGTAATAGATGCTATCCCGTGGGCTGAGCGGTAAAACTTTTTTTAGGCGTTCATGGTGCTGAAGTAGTAGGTGAATAACAATTATATAAACTATATAAACTTCACACATTACAATCCATATGCTACAACTACAATAAGAAGGTATGGGGTATCTTCTTCAAGGATTTACACAGTAAACTCAACAATCAGTTGACAATTTTAATAAAGACCTTGACAGTTACCGTGGACTAGAACGGATCAGACAGCACATCTGTGTTTTGCAAAGGTTTTTAACATAACTAGCACAAGTTTTGTTCTTTCAATTCAATTGGCAAAATGCTGTAGGCTGTGTTGAGTGGGTCATTGGCAGAGGTACTCACAGATACGCTGTCTGATCTAACTAAGTAACAGAGAAGCATCAATGCTGAATGGATTTTTGCACATTTCTCAAAACCACGTTCCTTCACTCGATTTTTTTTGTGATATTCTTAAGCAAGTCAGCAGAAGAGCTAATTTATTGCGTTTATCTTCCCACCTTTTTATCCAAGGAGTCCATGGTTCACCCCCCACCTCATCGAATCCGTACAACGACCCTGTGAGGCGGGTTAAGAGGCAGCCACTGACTCCAAGTCCACCCAGTGAGCTTCAGGACTGAGTGGGGATTCGAACCCTGATCTCCCTCTAACCACTACACCACACTTCCCTCTGAGTGTCCTTCTGCTATGAGGCAGATCTATGAATTAAGCATGCATATAAATATGGGGAAAGCAAATTGTCACTTAGAGAAGGATCTGAAATAGTTCTCTTGAAGCGTGAATTTGTTTTGCTCTGGACATTTTCACGACATTTTCATGCATTGCAAACGGCTTTGAGGTTTTTCCTTTAAAAGATAAATCGGTATAGAAATGAAATGAATAATAATAATAATCCCACTGCAAAAGAAAACTAGTTTTTATCGCTGGGGCGAGCTGCCGTAGGTTGGACCATAACAGAATTTTTAAACGAACGAGTCCAATAATTATGAAATTATTGCACTAAACAGAGATGGCTAGATTAACTGGGAAACTCAGAAACCAGGCGGATCAAAACTTCAACAAAGAATGGGACAAATTTATATCACATTTGAAAGACCACTGTAAACACTTGAACTCTGGCAGGTTTTAAAAAACTCCTGCAATGATACATAGATTTTGGAGACAATGGAGGATTGTAAATTAGATGGACTTATAACATGCAGTTTAAAAAAGTTACCTAAAGAACCCACAGAGGGAAGTCTTGAGATTCGGAATAATCTTATGTAATTTTTATTATTTGTGATTATGAGTGTGAATGAATTTGTAAAATCAAATAAGAACTATTAAGGAAAAATAAAAATTTTTTGGAACGAATGAATGAATAAAACAAATTCTATCCTGGTCCTTTCATGGTTCTGCAGTGGTGAAAGTGCGCCTTCATCCAGCTCACTTGTGCCAAACCTAGAGCACCGGTGTGTGCGGAAATCTTTTCGGCAAAATCTGGAGGGCTGGGTAAAGGTAAAGGGACCCCTGACCGTTAGGTCCAGTCGTGGCCGACTCTGGTGTTGTGGTGCTCATCTCGCTTTATTGGCCGAGGGAGCCGGCGTACAGCTTCCGGGTCATATGGTCAGCATGACTAAGCCGCTTCTGGCGAACCAGAGCAGCGCACGGAAATGCCGTTTACCTTCCCGCCAGAGCGGTACCTGTTTATCTACTTGCAGTTTGACGTGCTTTCGAACTGCTAGGTGGGCAGGAGCAGGGACCGAGCAACGGCAGCTCACCCCGTCACAGGGATTCGAACCACCGACCTTCTGATCGGCAAGCCCTAGGCTCTGTGGTTTAACCCACAGCGCCACCCGCATCCCTCTTCTAATGAAGGTAAAGGTAGAGGTAAAGGGACCCCTGAGCATTAGGTCCAGTCGTGGCCAACTCTGGGGCTGCAAGCGCTCATCTTGCTTTACTGGCCGAAGGAGCCGGTGTACAGCTTCCGGGTCATGTGGCCAGCATAACTAAGCCGCTTCTGGCGAACCAGAGCAGCGCATGGAAACGCCGTTTACCTTCCTGCCGGAGTGGTACCTATTTATCTACTCGCACTGGTGTCCTTTCGAACTGCTAGGTTGGCAGGAGCAGGGACCGAGCAACAGAAGCTTATCCCGTCGTGGGGATTCGAAATGCTGACCTTCTGATCGGCAAGCTCTAGGCTCTGTGGTTTAGACCACAGCGCCACCCGCGTCCCGGAGGGCAGAGAGGCACCTAAATAAAATAAAACCAGCTTGACCTTTCTCCCATCTCGCCTATGTACCTACCCATGCACAGTGTGTCGGAGAGAGGGGTGCAGGCTTGGATCATGACCTCGTTTTTGCCACACGCTTGCCGGCAGGGCTGGCAGGCTTCCAGCGAGCTCTTCGACTCTGAGTAATAGCCATCCGGGCACCTCTGGCACATGGCATCGCTTCTGGGGCCGCAGGGCTTTGTGGCTCCGTAGCCTTCGGGGCAAACTTGACAAGGGAGGCACTGCCCGATGCCCTGGGTCCCGTTTCCAGCAGGGAGGTAATGCCCCCGGGGGCAGTTGGCGGTGCAGACCGTGTCGTGGGCAGGGGTGCAGGCATCCAGCAAGAGCGCTTGGCTCGGACACACCGAGCAAGGCTGGCAAGGCTCCGTGGCGCTGGCGACGGAGGAGAACGTCACACCTGTGGCGGAGAGAGGAAGGCTAACGTTAAATAAGTAGGAGTTCTTGTTATTACCATATTTTTTGCTCTATAAGACTCACTTTTTCCCTCCTAAAAAGTAAGGGGAAATGCGTGTGCGTCTTATGAAGAAGAAAAAGAAGAGTTTGGATTTGATATTCCGCCTTTCACTCCCTTTAAGGAGTCTCAAAGCGGCTAACAATCTCCTTTCCCTTCCTCCCCCACAACAAACACTCTGTGAGGTGAGTGGGGCTGAGATACTTCAAAGAAGTGTGACTGGCCCAAGGTCACCCAGCAGCTGCATGTGGAGGAGCGGGGAAGCGAACCCGGTTCACCAGATTACGAGTCTACCACTCTTAACCACTATACCACACTGGCTCTTATGGAGCGAATGCAGGCTGCGCAGCTATCCCAGAAGCCAGAACAGCAAGAGGGATTGCTGCTTTCACTGCACAGCGATCCCTCTTGCTGTTCTGGCTTCTGAGATTCAGAATATTTTTTTTCTTGTTTTCCTCCTCCAAAAACTTGGTGCGTCTTAAGAGCGAAAAATATGGTAAATGTACCAAGAAGAAAGCACACCAAGTAATCAGGCCAATGTAAGTTTCAGTAGTGGGAGTGGTCCCTATTCACAAATCAATAGTCAATCGTAACAAAAACTAACCCATTCAAAAGTATGTATTCTGACAAAGATTACAAACTCAAATAAAGATTACAGATCCTAACAGAGATTACAAACCTGGCTTCTAATCCATAATTGACTCCTGCTCTAGGATTGAAACTGAGTCTCCATTTGCAAGCTGATAAGTTATAAGGATCAACACTATTGTTGAGTGAAAAAGAGAAAATCTTTGTAACAAATTATTGTGTTATACATATCTTTAAGAGTTTGTAATCTCTGCTTGTAAAATATTAAGATTATACCAGCAAGAAAGAGTCTTTCTGCAAAAAAATAAAAATGATTTAAATCGAGTCTTACTGTCTAGTGATTTAAATTGTGCTTTAAATCAATTTGATTTAAATCAAATCCACCCTGTTTACAACACATTAAAACATCAGATAAAACAGAATCAAGCTTCAAGTGAAATAAGTCAGGTCCTTCTCTAAGGGACATTTTGCTTTCCCCATATTGATTTGCCTACGTAATTTATCTAGTTGGCTCATAGCAGAAGGCTTTGCTCTCTCAGACACTGAGGTCCAGCTCCGAGGGTCTTCTGGCGATTTCCTCCTTGCGAGAAGTGAGGTTACAGGGAACCAAGCACAGGGCCTTCTTGGTGGTGGCACCCTCCCATCAGATGTCAAGGAAATAAACAACTCTCTGACTTTTAGAAGACATCTGAAGGCAGCCCTGTTTAGGGAAGCTTTTAATATTTGGTGAATATTTTAATATTTTGCTGGAAGCCGCCCAGAGCGGCTGGGGAAACCCAGCCAGATGGGCGGGGTATAAATAATAAATAATAATAATAATAATAATTCCTCTGCCACTTACTTTCTTGACATGGCTCACACTTGTTGTTGGCACTCCCGCAAGGAGAAGCCACCCCAAAACCTGGGGGGCAAAGGTCGCAGCAATCTCCGGCGGAGATGAAGCGCCCGTTTTCGCAGCGCTGACGGGCCCAAACCTGGAGAGGGTAGAAAGCGAGATGCGCGGACGTGATGAGTCGGGCCAACGGAACGGGATAGAGTCCCACGCCTGCGGCCAGTATCTCCATGGCACAAAGCCATAGCCCCCGCAATCATCCCAGGAAAACTGGGACGCCCCGTTTTTTTCTCACGAGAGAACGGTGGCCATTTTTGGGCGCCGCAATTTTGCACTGCGATTTTCCACCGGAAATACCGTATTTTTCGCTCCATAAGACGCACCTAGTTTTTAGAGGAGGAAAACAAGAAAAAAAATATTCTGAACGAAACAATGGATGTATGATTTTTGTGGTTCATGCTGTGGCCACAGACATGTGATCTGCTGGTGAATTTGGGGTGACCCGATGCAAAAATCCTGAGGATCCATGTGGATCCGTGCTTTGTAACCACATTTTTGCGCCATTGTGGCCCCATGAAACAGTGGATGCGTGATCTTTTTGGTGCAGGCTGTAGCCACGGACATGCTATGTGATCTGATGGTGAATTTGGGGTGACCCAATGTAAAAATCCTGAGGATCCATGGGCTTTTACCTCCCCCCTCCCAGGCAGCCTCCACTAGCATCCCTTATCTCTCTTCCCATCCCACCGATCAGCTGTTTCCTTTCAATACTCCCTTCCCTCACCCCGTCGCGGGGATTCGAACCACCGACTTTCTGATCGGCAAGTCCTAGGCTCCGTGGTTTAACCCACAGTGCCACCCGCGTCCCTATTGTGTTACCTCCTAAATGGTAGAATCGTAGAACTAGAAGCGATCACATCGGTCAAACCCACTGCAACCCAGAAATCTCTTTGCCCAGTTTGAGGCTTGAACCCACAATTTTGAGATTAAGAGTCTCATGGTCATCTAGTTTATTATTCTCCATGTGTTTCTATGGCCCTTTTTTAAAAAACCTTTCCAGTTGGTGACCACAGTACAGCGGTACCTCGGGTTGCAGACGCTTCAGGTTACAGACTCCGCTAACCCAGAAATAGTACCTCGGGTTAAGAACTTTGCTTCAGGATGAGAACAGAAATTACACGTGGACTATGCAGAACTAGATAAACTAACAGGAAGGATTCGGAACTGGCGGGACCAGAAATTCACGGAAGACTGGAGTAAATATACGGACTATTTGAAAAGTATCTGTGAAGATCAGACAACGTTTGTAGGTTTGCAAGAAGTTTTGTGAGGAGTTTTATTGGAATTATTGCAAAAATGGAAAAGGGGAAGGATGATTTGTTAAGAGATTTAAAGGCAATACAAAGTTAAGAAATGCATAAGAAGTGGTTAAAACGTTGGATCATCAGAGGTGCTGATGGAAGTCTAAAAAGATTGTATAAGTGATAAGTTTTGTGGTACATTTTATAATTTATATGTTAAAATCAATAAAAAAATTATATATATATATAAAAAAAGAGAACAGAAATTGCACGGCAGCAGCAGGAGGCCCCATTAGCTAAAGTAGTGCTTCAGGTTAAGAACAGTTTCAGGTTAAGAACGGACCTCCGGAACGAATTAAGTTCTTAACCCGAGGTCCCACTGCACACCTCTTGCAGATAACACAGTTTAACTATCCGGTGTGCAAAAAAAGTTGCAGGAAAATAACCTCCAAACCCAACTTTTTTTTTTAGCAAGACCTTGGTTTCCTGGGATCCAGGAATTTGCTGATTCCTCGATCTGCTGGGAGGATTAACCGATCTCGCCGCGTACCCTTTGGCCTGCTGGGAGAGCCAGGCTCCAACCCCTGAACTTTGGAGACTGTGGGGCAATTCTTCTTCCTAGCCTCCCCCCCCCCCCGGAGGGTCTCTATTAATAAACTTTGGAATGCAGGCATGTTACACACCGACACACCTCTCTCAGACCAGAACTGGGCGGTTGCAAATGCGAAGGCTCACAGCTGGCAGACGCCAAACTTTTTTCCATCCCAAAGAGAGAGAGAGAGTGGAACAAAAACGCCCGTGTTCTTTGCTCCGGGGAAGCATCCTGCCCCCATCCTGACACTCCCCGCCTGCTTTGGAATCCCAAAAAATAAAATATAACCCTGTTCCAATTAAGCCTAAACCTGCCCTGTCACTCCCCTCTGTTTTCGGAGTTAGACGAATCATGTTACACGGAATCATCGGATCCATACTTTTTTTGCACAACGCAGAGTTGGGGGGAGGAGTGGGTGGGTGGAGAGACCCCCCCCCAGTCTCCTCTCTCTCAAACAGCAAGAGGCTCTCCTGGAATATCTCCTCCCCTGTGCCCCCGAGCCAAGAACAAAGAAAATTAATTGGCTAGCCTTGCATCTGGAGATACTTAATTATTGCAAGGCCCTCTCTTAAAGGCAGAGCAGAAAATTGCAAGGAGGCAGGGGACGAGAATCCTGTTCTCCAGCATGTTTTGTGTGTGTGATTGTGAGGTGGTTTGGGGGGTCTACTCCCTCTCCTAACAGCTTGCATGTTTCGGAGGAGTTTGCAGATTAGCCCCAGACAGGTCTCTGCAATTCCCACCTCTCTGCAAGCAGGTGTTCAGACTTTGACGGTTAACCTTTGGTTTGCTGGCTACCGGTTCTTTCTTTTTTCCTTTTGGCAGGCTGGTAAAGTTTGAGGAAGCACAAGACGGTGACCTTGAGCTAACCCGGGATAAAGCAACTGGCTGGGGAGCCTTAAAGAGATATAAGCGTTAAGACCACCCTGCACGCTGTAGTCCAGGTCTTTGTAAATGCCAAGCACACCGCATTGCAATCAGGGTTAGAAATTCGCCGGTTAATTGCATTAATCTCCCATCTTTTCCTCCAAGAGGTGAATGGTTCATGTTAATCCCTACAATGATCCTATGAAGTGAGAAACTCACTTCATAGGATCATTGTATATCACACAGATATACAGTGGTACCTTAGTTTAAGAGTGGCTTAGTTTATGAACAACTTGGATTAAGAACGCTGCAAAGCCGAAGTAGGTGTTTTGGTTCGTGAACTCTGCCTTGGAAGCGGAACGTGTCGAGTGTGTTCCATTTGTAAATTGAGTCCCCCGCTGCTATGGGAAAGCACGCCTTGGTTTAAGAACGCTTTGGTTTAAGAACGGACTTCTGGAACGGATTAAGTTCGTAAACCAAGGTACCACTGTATAAACTAGGCGCCAAACGGCTCCTTTGATGGCAGAAAGTGAGGAGGAATTAAAGAACCTTTTAATGAGGGTGAAAGAAGGGAGCGCAAAATATGGTCTGAAGCTTAACATCAAAAAAACGAAGATCATGGCCACTGGGCCCATCACCTCCTGGCAAATAGAAGGGGAAGAAATCGAGGCAGTGAGAGATTTTACTTTCTTGGGCTCCATGATCAGTGCAGATGGTGACATTAGTCACGAAATCAAAAGACGCCTGCTTCTTGGGAGAAAAGCAATGACAAACCTAGACAGCATCCTAAAAAGCAGAGACATCATCTTGCCAACAAAGGTCCGTATAGTAAAAGCTATGGTTTTCCCAGTAGTGATGTATGGAAGTGAGAGCTGGACCATAAAGAAGGCTGATCGCCGAAGAATGGATGCTTTTGAATTCTGGTGCTGGAGGAGACTCTTGAGAGTCCCATGGACTGCAAGAAGATCAAACCTCTCCATTCTGAAGGAAATCAGCCCTGAGTGCTGACTGTACAGACAGATCCTGAAGCTGAGGCTCCAAGACTTTGGCCACCTCATGAGAAGAGAAGACTCCCTGTAAAAGACCCTGATGTTGGGAAAGATGGAGGGCACAAGGAGAAGAGGACAATAGAGGACGAGATGGTGGGACAGTGTTCTCAAAGCTACCAGCATGAGTTTGACCAAACTGCGGGAGGCAGCGGAAGACAGGAGTGCCTGGCGTGCTCTGGTCCAGGGGGTCACGAAGAGTCAGACACGACTAAACAACAAACAGCTCCTTTAAACCAAGGTCACAGTCGCCAAAACAGAATGTATGGTGTCATTTTGGGGCAAGACTAAAGCCTACTTTTTCAAAGGATGAGTGACTGTGATTGATTCAGTTAAACATCAGGCTAGTTCAGATGACAGGTAAAAGGTAAAGGTAAAGGACCCCTGGATGGTTAAGTCCAGTCAAAGGCGACTATGGGGTTGCGGCGCTCATCTCGCTTTCAGGACAAGGGAGCTGACGTTTGTCCACAGACAGCTTTCTGGGTCCTGTGGCCAGCAGGACTAAACCGCTTCTGCCGTAATGGGACACTGCGATGGAAACCAGAGTGCACAGAAACGCCGTTTACCTTCCCACCACAGTGGTACCTATTTATCTACTTGCACTGGCGTGCTTTCGAACTGCTAGGTTGGCAGGAGCTGGGACAGAGCAACGGGAGCTCACCCCGTCACAGGGATTCGAACCGCCAACCGTCCTATCAGCAAGCCCAAGAGGACCAGTGGTTTAGACCATGGCGCCACCCGCGTCCTTTTAGATGACAACCTTGAGCAAGGTTAAGAACTTTGAGAACTTAAGAAGAAAAGTCACCTGACCCAGGGACAGTCTGCAAATATATTGACCTGTTCCGACCTTTTTTCTTAATGGTGACACGGACCGTTCATAATGTAAGAATATTCTTCACAACTGTGAGCAGGGCAGTGGGGTGGGGTAAGGGAAGACAAGAGACAACAATTAGCTATAACATTGCTCCCTGCTCAGGCCGCACAGAAAAAGCGTTTTGGTTCCGGAAAGTCATTCCGATTGTGCAGATTAAATAGAACTGATAGAATTCTACAGGCTGTAGTATTAGTGTGTGAAAACAGTGCAGATCCAAGGATCCTCATATTGCAGAAATGTCTGGTGCAATCCTGACCCCCGGGCATCTTCACTTGATCGCAAGTATTGCAAGATTGTCACGTGAGCTCTTAGACTAAAATTGTCAACCGAAAGCTTTACTTTTCTGGTTTATCACCACCACAGTTCCTAACACTGGGCTTCAGTAAAGCAAATAATTTAATTAAGCAGCGCCTATACGATATCGAGCAGCAGGAGAGAGGGAAGGAGAGATCCCCCCCCCTCCAGCTGTTCCTCAAAGACAACTGCATTGCTGGATGCAACTGCTTCTCAGAGGCTCTCAAAACCACCTGTGACTGTCTCTTCTTTTGGAAGTTTTGCTGCGAGAAGCCAAGTTACAGGGAACCAGGCAGAGGGCCTTCTCGGTGGTGGCACCCCCCGTGGATAAGGCGAATAGTGTTTAATAGGTTATTGTATTTTAGTATTTTGTTGGAAGCCACCCAGAGTCGGTGGTATAAATAATAAATTATTATTATTATTATTATTATTATTATTATTATTATTATTATTTTGGTGGGAAGTAGGGGGAGGAGAGAGAGGTGGGAAAATATTGTTAAAAGGGTGCAGTCATAGGTATATCAGTGCATTTAAATCTGAATTGTCACTAGCGCTAATACACCCAGGAACCTCACCAAAATGCTAGAGAGGGTGCACCTCCACAGGCACATACCTCCACATGTGGTGGGAGTGTCCCAAAATCCAACTATTCTGGACAACAGCCATACAAGAAATATGTAAAATAACTAAGCAAGTAATAGACATCACCCCAGAATTGGCCCTACTAAACATCTTCCAAGACAACAATGCCCATTTACACCACAAAGAACTCATAACCCACCTGCTCTCAGCAGCCAGAAACACCATAACCAGACACTGGAGAGACCTGTCAGGAGTAAGCATGGACCAATGGTACCAAATAGTATGGGAAACCGCCTTACTAGAAAAATTAACTAATAAACTGAAACTGACACGGGGACAAACAGAAGACGCCGCCTTCACCCCGGTATGGCTCCCCTTTATCACATACACAGCCCAACAGGACAATGACAATAATCCACCAACAGCATACAAATCAATATGGCTAACCTGATCCAAAACACCCACCCACCTCACTCACACACGAAAACAAAGATCACCCCAACCTCTCTCACCACCAAAGGAACACAAGTGAACAACACAAGCAACGCTGACACCAAACTCTACATACATTAAACATAATAGAAACACCGCCACCCGACCCCACCCCCCATCCATCTTCCCTCTCTCCACCCCCCTTTCTTTTTTCCTTTTTTCCTTCTCCCCCTAATGCCTCGACAAATGAAACGGATTTGTAAAAATGTTACATGGGGGGAAAATACGAGGCATTACACTTACTTCTGTAAAACAAGAAAATCCTTAATAAAATATTTAAAAAATAAAAATAAAAAATAAATCTGAATCGTCAAATTGTGTTATTATTGTTACTATGGTTTTTGTTGTAGTGTCTTTTGCGGTTGTTTGTATCGAAAAAATGATTAATTTTCCTTTTTTAAAAAAAAGTCTGGTTTGGGGGGAAAGAAGGGGGAGGAGCCACAATCGGATTGAGTACCTTCAAAGCTTTTCCAAAGTACGACTTTCCCGGCTCCCAACTTTACGAAGCAATCTCAGGCAGCGGCGATGCTCTGCTTAGTCATTCATCCTTGCAAAACACTAGGGAGACGGTCACAATTTTATTTTTATTTTAAGACTCCATTTTTATTAACGACATGAGGTGGGGCTTTACAACTCGGAGGGGATCTCGCCCATTTTGCAGCTCGCAAAAATGGTTTGCAAAGAGGCTGCACCCTCCTCTTCTGCGTAGGACGGCAGTGTTTCCAGGTGACTCACCCTTATAAATCTGGGTGCAAGAAATCAGACGCTGTGGGGTGGCCATTGCTCCCTGAGGAGAAAGAAGAGGCTGGGATAAGATTGCTCTTTGTCTCCATTTGCCTGGGTTCCGTCAGTCTATTCAACAATTTGCAGCTTCGCCTAAGCAGAAAGGGGCAAGTCTCTGCCCCGAGGGGGCTCCAGTCTAAATTGAAAAAGGTGAAGGAAAGGGTAACTCCACAGGCGGGCAAACTAAGGCCCGGGGGCCGGATCCAGCCCAATCACCTTCTCAATCCAGCCCACGGACGGTCCAGAAATCAGGATGTTTTTACATGAGTAGAATGTGAAATTTTTAATTTAAAATGCATCTCTGGGTTATTTGTGGGGCCTGCCTGGTGTTTTCACACGAGTAGAATGTGTCCTTTTATTTAAAATGCATCTCTGGGGGTATTTGTGGGGCATAGGAATTCGTTCATTTTCTCCCCCAAAATATAGTCTGGCCCCCCACAAGGTCTGAGGGACAGTGGACCGGCCCCCTGCTGAAAAAGTTTGCTGACCCCTGAAGAATGCAGATATTCCTACTTATGACTTTGAATGAGGACCAAGGAAAAAGTGGGGGTTGCTAACAAGACACCCCCAAAGTGTTATCATTTATTGCATTTATGTATCCCAACATTTTTTCCTCCAAGGAGCTCAAAGCTGTGCATTTGCCTCCCTTTCTTCATGTCTTCTTCACAACAACCCTGAGAGGCGGGCAAGGAAGAGACTGGGCCAACCCTGGTCTCTCCCAGGTGCTAGTCCGACAAACAGAAAGGCAGCGTGGTGCAGTGGTTATAGAGCTAAACCTGCCTCACAGGGTTGTTGTTTGAGGAAGAAAAGAGAGCTTGCCTTAAGCTCTTTGGAGGAAAGCTTGAGGAACAAATGCAATTTAAGTGAATAGAAGTCACGTGGAGTCAACTGTCCTCTCACACAGCGCAACAAATGGATTTGATCGGAACCACCAGGACTTTTTCCCTTTCGGAAAATGATGAAGTTTTTAACGACTGGTGTTTTATTGTGTTTTTAATCTTTTCTTTTCTTTTTTTTAAATGATATTTATTGAAAAAAATTTTTAGAATTACAAAAGAGAACAAAGCAGAAAAAGAGAAAGAAAAAGCAAAGAAAAAACAAACCACATCAAACAATACAAATTCAAAAAAAACAAAAATACACCACAAACATTCAAAAACAAATCCACCATTCTCAAATCCTCAACTGTCATTACCTTCTTTCTTTGACCTCCTCCTCCTCCCTTTTTTTGTATCCTAGTTATTAATTGTCGCAGCAAAGCCTTTCCATATTTCATAATATTCTGTCATTACATTACCTTAATCTATTTTAATCTTATCTTACTATAAAAAACCTTAAAACTTAAATCTTATTTTTGCCAACTTCTCATAACCATAATATTCTTACATAATTCTTTAAACATTTTTACTAAAGCCAAGTAATTTTGTTCCAACATTTTTCTAACATTCATCTATTTTATAAAACAATCCTGGTAGTAAAAAAAAAGAAATAAAAACAATCCAATCTTCATCCAGCGTCCCTTCCTCCTGGTCCCGGGTTTTGTCAGTCCTTATTATCCCATCGATCTAGCGCATTAACCTGGTAACCTTGTATCCAAGGCCCTTAAGTCTCTTCCATGTCCCTTCCGCGGCTCTTCTTCATATTTATAACTGTATTTTCCTTTGTCTCCTGCTCCTTTCACTCGTGGGAACTCCAGCTTAACAATGTTTTTGACCCTTCTCGACAAATCAGCCCCTTTTCCATAGTCCACACTAAACTTCATGTGGTATTTAAGAACATGTTTCAAAATCCCTCCAAAATTAAGAGCCCCCACAACCCCAAACATCTCACGGCCCATTGCCAGACTTGAAAAGTCCAAACATCCCTGCATAGGGGGGTCTATCCAGCCCCCCATTTCCAAACCAAACCAAACTTTATCTTTCCAAATCTGGCTTTTTCCAAGTTCATTTGTCAAATCCAAAAGCTCATGTTCCTGCTGGGCCACAGCTCCCTCCATCTCTGGCGCCCAAGATTCAGCAACATCCTCTTCCCTCATCTGTTCTGTCAGGGCACACTCCTGATTTAATTCCTGGGTGGGCTCCATATAATTTCCCACTGCCTGTTCAAAATTTCTGATCGAATCAGTCATCAAATCCGTCTTCTCATGTAGCTGTTCCAGTAGGGCATTTGTTTTACAGGAAGCACACAACAGAGCTTCTGAATACATTGTCCTGCAAGGTCAGAAGTCTATTCCCACGATTGTAATCTGTAACAGCTGCACGCTCCCCGGAGTTGGTTACAGTTTCACAGTCTCCCTCTAGGGGGAAAACTTCTATTTGTTCTTTCTTTTAAAGACAAGTCTAACAACAAAGTTTCCTTTTTCAGATATTTTGTCAATATTTGTTCCTTTAAAAAGCGAAGGGGAACAATGGAATCAATGTTTCTCTTCTTATAGCTATCTGTCAAAAACGTTTGTCTCTGGTCAATGAGCTTCAAAAAACGTCAGTCCTGACACCCCGCTCCAGGATCAGGACGGTGGAAAGTTACTTTACTTTACACTCACTTCTGCAGGTTTAAACAGTCCGAAAAAATCCCCCCTCTTCTCCTGCTTCCGAAGGGGGGTTCAACAATTTTAAATGATGAAAGTTAATCTTTTACAAGCGATTTTCTGAGCTCTAGTTTGCCATGTCTTTGCTTTAATCTATCTACAAAGAAACGGAAGGCTGACTTCCTGTTTAGACCTTCCCGTTTCAGTGCCAAATTGAGGTAAACTTTTAAGTCCAATTTTCCTTTCTGCTCACAAGTCCTTATTTAAAGTCCAATTGTCCGAGTTTAAGTACTCACGGGTGATTATTTTAGAAGCCAAATTGTCCCAGGAAAAAGGCAGCGCTCTCCGGCAACGGCTGTGCGGCTTCGCTCCACGGAAGAAGCAGTTGACTCTCAGCACCGCGCCACTTCCCCCTCTTCGCTCCAGAGCCCGTTAGTGGGTTCTTTTGCGGGTTGGGGGGTCCCATGGTCACAGGCTTCATCCGCCTGTGATTTTTGAAAGGGTCCCCGCTTCGCCGTAGCGGAAAAGACCCGTTTCGCGTGGAGCTAGTCCCTCCAGATCAGAGGGAGTCCGCCATTGCCAATGGCGCCACCCCGGAAGTCTATTGTGTTTTTAATCTTTGTTGGAAGCTGCCCAGAGTGGCTGGGGAACCAGAGCAGCGCACGGAAACGCCGTTTACCTTCCCGCCGGAGTGGTACCTATTTATCTACTTGCACTTTGATGTGCTTTCGAACTGCTAGGTTGTCAGGAACAGGGACCGAGCAACAGGAGCTCACCCCGTCGCGGGGATTCGAACCGCCGACCTTCTGATCAGCAAGTCCTAGGCTCTGTGGTTTAACCCACAGCGCCACCCACGTCCTGCGTTATACAGTAGTATAAAAACCAACAATTGGGAAACACTGGCCTGCGAGCGCTCCAGTTGGAGAACAGCCTTTACCAAAGGTGTCGTGGGCTTTGAAGACACTCGAACTCAGGACGCAAGGGAGAAAGATGCTAAGAGGAAGGCACACCTGGCAAATCCACACCGTGATCAACTCCAGCCTGGAAACCAATGTCCCCATTGTGGAAGGACGTGTGGATCCAGAATTGGCCTCCGTAGTCACTTACGGACTCACTGTTAAAACCGTCTTTATGGAAGACAATCTTCCTCGGCTACGATGGATTGCCAAAGAAGAAGCTGGTTGCCTGGAGCTGAGGCGGCTTGAGAGTAAGCAGGCAAACAGGTGAGGGAGCCCTGCCAGCCAGTCCACCAGCCGTTGCTGTTGGGAATGGGCAGACCAGAGGCTGGGCGGGCAGGCACTGTGCTAGTACACCTGAAGGAGCGTCTCCACCCCCATAGTTCAGCCCAGACACTGAGGTCAAGCTCCGAGGGCCTTCTGGCGGTTCCCTCCCTGCGAGAAGCAAAGCTACAGGGAACCAGGCACAGGGCCTTCTTGGTGGTGGCACCCGCCCTGTGGAACACCATCAGATGTCAAAGAGAAAAACAACTACCTGACATTTAGAAGACATCTGAAGGCAGCCCTGTTCAGGGAAGTTTTTTTGTTTTTTTTAATAATAATATTTATTCAAAGTTTAAAGTTACAAAAAGAAAAAAGAACAATACAAAATACAAAAAAGAATATAACAATAACAGAGAGAGAGAAAAAAAAGAAAAAAAGGTATAAAAATACATTCAATTGAAATAGAACAAGAACAGATTAAACCTTTACATAACTTTTTTCCTTTACTTATTTCCTTGACCTCCTCTCACCTCCCAATTTTGTATTCTAGTTCAGATCGTTTTTCAGCAAATCCTTCCAACCTTATTTTCATTTACGTAGTTTAATTTAAAGTATTATAATTTAACATCCTCTCTTTCATCAATTTCATCAACTCATTTTTGCTTAATCCTTTATATCATATCTACCAAAACTACCTAATTTTCTTTTTCCAACATCTTTCTAACAGTCTTTAATATTACAATATTTTTGAAGATATACTTAAAAATTTTTCCAATCTTCTTCCACCGACTCTTCTCCTCGGTCCCGGATTCTGCCAGTCATCTCAGCCTCAGGGAAGTTTTTAATGTGTGACATTTTAATGTATTTTAATCTTTGTTGGAAGCCGCCCAGAATGGCTGGGGAGACCCAGCCAGATGGGAGGGGTACAAATAATAGATTATTATTTATTATTATTATTATTATTATTATTATTATTATTATTGTGTTTGCTGTGTGCAAGGCCTGCCTGGGAGCTGAGTGCCTGGTGCTGAAGGTGAGCCTTACCGCCACACAGCCGCTGCTGCCTGCCAAGGTAAGGTGCTATGGCCTCACCTTCACCTTTCCCAGTCTCTGTTGGGCCACTAAGAATGGGGGCACCCTCTTCCCAGGCCCCTGTGGGGCAATGTGACGAGACACCCCTCTTTGGAACAGGAGGGGCAGCTCAGAGACCAGGGGCAAAGGACTCCCAAGGAGATGGGAGAAGGGAGGAGGCTGAGGATACCACAAGGGAGCGTGTTCGAAAAAGGGCGAGAGGCTGCTATCTCTGCAGGCAAGGGGTGATCTAACTAGGCTCCAGAGCCCCCCAGGGGTGGTACAGAAAGAACATACAGTGGTAACTTGGTAGTCAAACGCCTTGGTTCCAAAACGCCAAAAACCCGGAAGTAAGTGTTCCGGTTTTCGAATGTTTTTCGGAAGCCGAACGTCCAATGCGGCTGTCGGCTACTGCTTCCGGGGCACCTGCGCCAATCAGAAGCCGCGCCTTGGTTTTCGAACATTTCGGAAGTCAAACGGACTTCTGGAACGGATTAAGTTTGGCGCTTCTGTTTTTGCTCTTTATTTTGGGTTTTTGTTGCTTTCTCGGTTTATTTTTGTGACTGTGTGGAACCCAGTTCAGCTCCTGATGGATTGGTTTGGTGACTGTGGAAATGGATAAAAGCCCACCCATCCAAACAATGACTGTTATCAGTTCAGGTAAGAAAAAAAAATATATTTTAATTTTTATCATCTGCAATACTGTCTTATTTGTTTTATAGTACAGTACAGTGGTACCACTGGATGCGAACAGGATCTGTTCTGGAGCCCCGTTCGCATCCTGAAGCGAACACAACCCGCGTCTGCGCGTCGCCGCTTCTGTGCGATGCGCGTGACGTCATTTTGAGCGTCTGCGCGAGCGGCAAAACCCAGAAGTGACGTGCTCCGTTACTTCCAGGTTGCCGCGGAGCGCAACCTGAAAATGCTCAACCTGAAGCTACCGTAAATTTCGCTCCATAACACGCAGTTTTTTCCTCCTAGAAAGTAAGGGGAGATGTCTGTGCGTGTTATGGAGCGAATGCCTACAGATGGCGGGGGAATCTGCTGCAGTCGTGAGCAGTCCGTGGCTCGCTTTGAAACAGCAAAGCGGGTGTAAGCGGCTCCTGTCAGCTAGCGGAGCCGGGGAGGAGGGAGAGAAGCAGAGCGGGAATTGGCTGCTTTAAAACAACCCCTGCTCTCTGTCCCTGCCTGCAGTTTTTTGCTGTCCGATTTTGGATTAGCCACTGTAGGGGCTGTGTGTGTGTGTGCTTGAGCTATCGTTCTCCTCCTCCTGCTTCCCCTTCTTCTTCTTCTTTTTTTTGCTGATAAATTTTTATTGGTATTATACATATATACATATAAACTTATACAAAGTCCAATACTTAAATCACACATAATATATTCATTCCATAAATCATAAATACATTTATTTTAGGCTCTGCCAAGCCTTGAACTTCCTTCCACTCCTTTGGTAAGTATCAAATAGACTTTATATTCACGTATTTTATCTCTTTTACATAATAACCTTTTACTGTTAGAGTTATTCCAATCCCGCCAGTGTCGTTTAAAGTTTGGTCCCAATATATATCCAATATTTAATCCAATTGTCATGAAATTTCTGTTCATCTTGATCTCTTATTCTTCCTGTTATTCTAGCGAGCTCGGCATAATTTGTTAATTTGATCTGCCAATCACTTATATTAGGTATGGCGTCCGTTTTCCAATTTTGTGCTAACATGATTCTTGCGGCTGTTGTGGCATATAAAAATAGTACCTTATCTTCTTTTTTAATTTCTTTACCTGTCATTCCTAGCAGAAAGGCTTCGGGTTTTTTGGGAAACGTGTATTTAAAATTTTTTTAAGCTCGTTATAAATCGATTCCCAAAAGCCTTTCACTTTGCTGCATAACCACCACATATGGTAGAAGTCACCATCTACTTCTCCACATTTCCAACATCTTTTGTTCTTTAACCTATAGATCTTAGCCAGTTTCACTGGTGTGAGGTACCACCTAAATATCATTTTCCCTTAATGCCTCCTGCTTCCCCTTCACTCTCCCAGCGCCCCTGCGCTCTCCTGCGACTTTAGAATTGACACTCTGTGTGTCTGTGTGTGTGAGGGCTCCTTCTCCTTCTCTTGCTTCCCGTTCACTCCCCCAGCGCCCCTAGGACTTCCAGCACCCTGCGCCTTTAGGGCCAGTTCTCTCTCTGTGTGTGTGTGTGTGTGTGTTGACCTCACTGCGCTTGTTGGGGGAGAGTGTTGGTCGCAATTTTTCTTGATTTGTCTCAGAGTGGTTACTATCGTGGTTTCCTTGCCGGGGAGGAGGGAGAGACGCAGAGCCTGCTTGTTCTAATGGAGCAAAGCCGGAGAGGAGCCTCTCCTACATTATTAGCAGCATCCTTCTCCACACACCCCACGCGTGCTCCTTGTCCCTTGAGTGCTTTTCCTTCCCTCCCCACTTAAAACGTGGTTACAAAGCACGGATCCACATGGATCCTCAGGATTTTTGCACTGGGTCACCCCAAACTCACCGTCAGATCACATGTCTGTGGCCACAGCATGAACCACAAAAAACATACATCCACTGTTTCGTTTAGAATATTTTTTTCTTGTTTTCCTCCTCTAAAAACTACGTGCGTGTTATGGTCAGGTGCGTGTTATAGAGCGAAAAATACGGTACTTCAACCCGAGGTATGACTGTACATTGATTATTGCTTTCATTTTATGGATCAATGGTCTTGTTAGAGAGTAAAATCCATGTGAAATTGCTGTTTCTGAGGTTGTTTTTAGAAGTCTGGAACGAATTAATTCATTTTGCATTATTTCTACGGGAAAGCGCACCTTGGTTTTGGAATGCTTTGGTTTAGGAACGGACTTCCGGAACGGATTAAGTTTGAGAACCAAGGGACCACTCTAGTTGGTCAAGGGAGCTGAGGACCCAAAAAGGTTGAAAACCTCTGGTCCAGTAGTGTCCAGTGAGCCACAATCTGCCACAGATGTTTCATCTGGCTGAGGGGATTTGAGAGCCCAAAACCTCTGCAAGGAAGGCAATTTAAGGGACAGTTGTTGCAAAGCGGAATCTCGACAAGTAAACAAAGGGTTGCATTTTCAACCCAGAGGTTTCTCCCTTGTTCTCCTACTCCTCCCTCCTGGGTTCCTGATTTCCAGAGAGCTCAAATCACTCTTTGCTATCCCCTCAGGGTAAGGTAGGGCGTCTGGGAGATGAATGAACTCTCAGAGGCTGGATGAATGGCAGGGAAGCCCTGGCCCCCCAGCTGCCTGGAGGGATGGGGTGGGAGCAACAACGCTCACCTGGAATGCAGGAAAAAAAAGGGGGGGGAAGAAATATTTCTGCAACACACCGTCAGCTCTGCGTGGACTTGCCCAGAGAAAGGGGAAGAGAGAAAAGAGGTGGGAGGGATTCAGATGGGCAGCAAGGAAGATTTGCACTAGTCAATTTGTAGTCACCATGTATTTGTACAATCTTCTTTTAAAGGCAGCTAGGTTGGTGGATGGACCCGGGTGGCGCCTAGGACTTGCTGATCAGAAGGTCGGCGGTTCGAATCCCCTGCTCCTGCCAACCTAGCAGTTCGAAAGCACGTCAAAGTGCAAGTAGATAAATAGGTACCACTCCGGCGGGAAGGTAAACGGCGTTTCCGTGCACTGCTCTGGTTCACCAGAAGCAGCTTAGTCATGCTGGCCACATGACCCGGAAGCTGTACGCCGGCTCCCTCGGCCAGTAAAGCGAGATGAGCACCACAACCCCACAGTCGCCTGCAGCTGGACCTAGTGGTCAGGGGTCCCTTTACCTTTAGGTTGGTGGACAGCCGCCACGAAATTAAAAGACGCTTGCTCCTTGGGAGAAAAGCAATGACAAACCTAGACAGCATCTTAAAAAGCAGAGACATCACCTTGCCAACAAAGATCCGTATAGTTAAAGCTCTGGTTTTCCCAGTAGTGATGTATGGAAGTGAGAGCTGGACCATGAAGAAGGCTGATTGCCGAAGAATGGATGCTTTTGAATTATGGTGCTGGAGGAGACTCTTGAGAGTCCCATGGACTGCAAGAAGATCAAACCTATCCATTCTGAAGGAAATCAGCCCTGAGTGCTCACTGGAAGGACAGATCCTGAAGCTGAGGCTCCAATCCTTTGGCCACCATCCCTTGGCCATGAGAAGAGAAGAATCCCTGGAAAAGACCCTGACGTTGGGAAAGATGGAGGGCACAAGGAAAAGGGGACGACAGAGGACAAGATGGTTGGACAGTGTTCTCGAAGCTACCAACATGAGTCTGACCAAACTGCGGGAGGCAGTGGAAGACAGGAGTGCCTGGCGTGCTCTGGTCCAGGGGGTCACGAAGAGTCGGACACGACTAAACGACTAAACAACAACAAGTTGACGGACATCACCGCCTCTTGTGGCAAGGAGTTCCGCAGTCTAACTACGTGCTGTGTAAAGAAGGACTTCCTTTTCCCTGTCCTGTAACTTCCAACATTTTTCTTCCTTCGATGCCCACAAATATGAGAGAGAGAGAAAAAAACCTTTTCTCTGTCCACTGTGGCTGTTCAGTTTATCAACAGGCCCTTGAATCTTAAGCTGTGTAGAGGCTATTGCAAATTAAATGAATAGGATAGATGGGGAAGAGCCTTCAAAGATATATAATGGTTTTTTGGGGGGGGTAGGGTTGGGTTGGGGAAACAATATTTGGCGTGAGAACAGGGGTGTTTATAGGAACACAGGAATGCCCATGAACTGCAGAAGGGTATTTAAGACAATAGGGACGCGGGTGGCGCTGTGGGTTAAACCACAGAGTCTAGGAATTGCCGATCAGAAGGTCGGTGGTTCGAATCCCCGCGAAGGGGTGAGCTCCTGTTGCTCGGTCCCTGCTCCTGCCAACCTAGCAGTTCAAAAGCACCTCAAAGTGCAAGTAGATAAATAGGTACCACTCCGGCGGGAAGGTAAACGGCGTTTCCGTGCGCTGCTCTGGTTCGCCAGAAGCGGCTTAGTCCTGCTGTCCACATGACCCAGAAGCTGTATGCCGGCTCCCTCGGCCAATAAAGTGAGATGAGCGCCGCAACCCCAGAGTCGTCCGTGACTGGACCTAATGGTCAGGGGTCCCTTTACCTTTACCTTTATTTAAGACAATGTCCTTCTCACTCTCTTCAAACAATCTAGGAAGCCCAAAACTCCTACAAAGTTAATTTCACCCTGAAGCATTTGGGGTTGAAACAAAGAACCCAAATCAGCTTTCCTCCAACCCTCCCCCCACTCCTGCATTCTTTACGTTTTTTGCCATCCCATCTAAAAAAATTCTAAATAACGCCCCCAGCCTGAGCGCCCCCACCCCAAAGTTGCAACTTAATAAGACTAGAGAATATTAAGCTGTGCAACATTAATTAGCTTCCCCAGGAAGTACAAGGGATAAAGGCAGCTTTTATATGGTCTGACCGCGTAATTACAGGGGCTGCCTGGGAAAAAATGTTAATACCAGACCAGGGAAAATGTGTTTCGCATTAGCCCCGACGTGAAATTTGCTGGAAATTGTGAATGGAGGGACGCACGGCTTTAGTTGCCTCTCTTCTAACGTGAGAACGATCGTTGGTGCTTAATTTGAGCCAGGCCTCAGCCTCAGAACTGCACAAATCAGAGTCAGACCATTGGCCCAGAGACCTCAATATTGTCTACACTGGCTGGCAGCAGCTGGCAGGGGGTTCAGGCAGGGGGTTTTCCCCAGCCGTACCTGAAGGTGCCAGGGAAGATGGGCCGTCACTGAGTCACGACTTGCGCTATGATCTCTTTCATCGCGTCAACCAGAAGTTTCGGGAGAGCGAAAGCTTTTGAGAGCATCTTGGCTGAGATGCAGGGATGTGTCGCTATAGCAGTCTGCATCTAAGAAGATGGAGGAGACGACAGTATATGTGAATAGGATCTAGGGGTCTTGGTGGGCCGCAAGTGGAACATGAGCCCACAGTGTGATGCAGCGGCAAAAAAGGCCGATGCTATTCTAGGCTGCATCAACAGAAATCTAGCTTCCAGGTCATGGGTAGGCAAACTAAGGCCCGGGGGCCAGATCCGGCCCAACCAGACTTTTAGAAGACATCTGAAGGCAGCTCTCTTTAGGGAAGCTTTTAATGTTTAACAGACCACTGTATTTTAATATTTTGTTGGAAGCCACCCAGAGCGGCAGGGGAAACCCAGCCAGATGGGCAGGGTATAAATAATAAATTATTATTGTTGTTATAATCGCCTTCTAAATCCGGCCCACGGATGGTCCGGGAATCAGCATGTTTTTACATGAGTGGAATGTGTAATTTTATTTAAAATGCATCTCTGGGTTATTTGTGGGGCATAGGAATTCGTTCATTTGTTTCCCCCTCAAAAAAAAATATAGTCCGGCCCCTCACAAGGTCTGAGGGACAGTGGACCGGCCCCCTGCTGAAAAAGTTTGCTGACCCCTGTTCCAGGTCAAGGAAGTGAAGTCATAGTACCACTCTATTCTACCTTGGTGAGGACACACCTGCGATACTGGGTACCACAATTTAAGAAGGATGTTGACAAGCTGGAAGGTGTGCAGAAGAAAGTGGCTGAGATGACTGAGGGTCGGGAAAGCAAGCCTGATGAGGAACCGTTGAAGGAGCCGGGTATGTTTAGCATGGCAAAAGAGGAGAGTGAAAGGAGATATATGAGAGAGCCATCTTCAAATATCTCAAGGGCTGTCGCACTGGAGAGGGAACAAGCTTGTTTTCTCCTGCTCCGGAGAGTTGAGGACTTGAACGGCCGGTGGCTGGAGCCAGCTGGGGGCCGGCCAAATGCCCCCGTCTCCCCGGACGCATCCCAACAGCGCCATGGGCATCGTGATGGGCGCATCGCGGGGCTTGGCAAGCCACCTGGGAGCTCCACAGGGTCGGGCCGATGGAGTGGCAGCTGCTAGTCAACAATGCTGGTGACTGGGAGGCGCCGAGATGCGCTCCTGAGCGCGTGCAGAGTGCGTTCCTCCTCCAGGTCCGGAGGCAGCTGCAGGACCCGATTGCAGGATATTTATATTTTTCAAAATACACTGGACGCTTACGATGCGAACGTGATCCGTGCGGGAAGCACGTTCGCAACCTGCAGTGCCGTGTCTGCGCACGCCCGGGTTGCGATTTGGCACTTCTGCGCATGCGCAAAGTGTGATTTAGCGCTTCTGCGCATGCGCTGAAACCTGGAAGTAACCTGGTCCGGTATTTTGGGGTTCAGCGCGGTGCGCAACCCGAAACGTCTGTAACCCGAGGTATGACAATATGGTACGGCCCCTCACAAGGTCTGAGGGACAGTGGACCGGCCCCCTGCTGATAACGTTTGCTGACCCCTGCTCTAGTCCTCAGTGAGGCTGTCTCACCCACAGATTCCAAACTGTAGGTGGGGACTCCTCACACTCTCTCTCTTAATTCAAGAATTGTTTTTTAAGCATAAAGCAGCAGCAGGAATTGCAATCTGGATCACAGGAACTGCTTATCTCTTGCCCTTTAGGCCTAAAAATCCCCACCATAATTGCTCCTTCCATGATCTCTTTACCTTGGTATCTTGTTCCCCGTGGGGCCATCTTGATAAGAAAAATGGCTCCTAAGGAAAAGGCTCATTTCCTTGTTCAGACCTCAGATTCCAAAGCAGTGGTAAAACCCACAAAAGACATACCCCAGTCTCATAATACGCTGTTTTATCCCAGTTCAGACTATTTGTCCATCAGCGCTGTCTGTGCTGAATGGAGATAGCTCAGTCATCAGATCTTGAGATGCTTAATCTCAGGGTGGTAAATTCGAGCCCCATGTTGGGCAAAAGATTCCTGCTTTACAGGGGGTTGGACTAGATGACCCTTGGGGTCCCTTCCAACTCTACGATGACTGGCAGCTGCCCCCCAGGGTCTCGGGCACATAACACACTTACTGATCCTTTTTTCCCAAACTTGGAAACACTGGTTCTGGAAAAAGGGACGCTTTGCGTGTGAAAGCAGTTTTTCTGCCACTTAGCTTAGCCCACAATGCGTGGAAAATACTTCTCCAACTGAAGAAGTATCCGTATCCTGTGTGAGAGTCTGGAGGCGGTTGGAGGATGGATGGCGGCTAACAGATTGAGGTTGAATCCTGACAAGACAGAAGTACTGTTTTTAGGGGGCAGGAGACAGGCAGGTGTGGGGGACCCCCTGGTCCTGAATGGGGCAACTGTGCCCCTGAAGGACCAGGTGCGCAGCCTGGGAGTCATTTTGGACTCACAGCTGTCCATGGAGGCGCAGGTCCATTCTGTGTCCAGGGCAGCTGTCTACCAGCTCCATCTGGTACGCAGGATGAGACCCTACCCGCCCACAGACTGTCTCGCCAGAGAGGTGCATGCTATGGTTATCTCCTGCTTGGACTACTGCAATGCGCTCTACGTGGGGCTACCTTTGAAGGTGACTCAGAAACTGCAATTAATCCAGAATACGGCAGCTAGACTTGTGACTGGGAGCGGTCACCGAGACCATATACTGTAAGACCGGTCCTGAAAGACCTACATTGGCTCCCAGTATGTTTCCGAGCACAATTCAAAGTGTTGGTGCTGACCTTTCAAGCCCTAAACGGCCTCGGCCCAGTATACCTGAAGGAGCGTCTCCACCCCCATCGTTCTGCCCGGACACTGAGGTCCAGCACCGAGGGCCTTCTGGCGGTTCCCTCTTTAAGAGAAGCCAAGTTACAGGGAACCAGGCAGAGGGCCTTCTCGGTGGTGGCACCCGCCCTGTGGAACGCCCTCCCACCAGATGTCAAAGAGAAAAACAACTACCAGACTTTTAGAAGACATCTGAAGGCAGCCCTCTTTAGGGAAGCTTTTAATGTTTAACAGACCACTGTATTTTAATATTTTGTTGGATGCCGCCCAGAGTGGCTGGGGAAACCCAGCCAGATGGGCGGGGTATAAATAAATAATAATAATAATAATAATAATAATAATTATGAAGTGTCCCATGCAAAAGGCTAATAAATTCATTATGGTGGACGGCAGCCCATTTCCCCTAATGCAGGACTTGTTAGCCTTACACGGACCCTAAGAACTAGGCATTTGGTGCCTCTTCAATACCTTCTTGGGATACCTAATTGTAAGGGACCCAAAGGTCATCTAGCCCAACCCCCTGCAATCGCAGCTCAGGTTGACCTGGCGCAGATGGCAAAACCTCCAGCATGTCTGACCATCTATCAAACACATAGAAGTAAACTCTCTTTACTGCTCAGCAATACGGCCAGCTCTGCCATTAGGCAAAGTGAGGCAACAGCTTCAGGCAGTGCCCTAAATTAGAACTACAATTCCCAGCGCCTTTAAACTACAGTTCCCGGGGGAGAGAAGTTTCTGCTTTAATTGTACGGTGTGTACCCAGCCCAAGAGTCTTTCGTATTCTCTGTGTGCAAAAGACCTGCCTATTGTGGCCTCTGTGTATTCCACGTTTTAAAAATGAAGGACAACAACGGAAAAATCTGCAGTGACTGCATTGTGGTGTTTTTTTCTTTCTTTGTCCTTTGCATAATTATTTCTGCCTTTAGTAGCCATGGCAAAGAATTATGCAGGATTCTGGACTCCTGCCTACAAAGGTTCATGTACGCAGAATTCCTGGTGCATGGAATAATCAAAAACAGGCATAGGAAGTTGGTTCTGGTAAGGAAATATCTCTCTGCTCATGCTCAGAGGCAATTTCTCCTCCGGCCAACCTGAATGTAAGCAAAAAGATTATTCCAAGCATTGCATGAGATGGGAGACAGGCTGCAGTCCTACACAGGATAGTTACCTAGGAGTAAGCCCCATTGAACCCACGGGGGCTTACTTCTGAGTAGACGGAGGATTGGATTGCGCCGCCTGCCACACCATATTGGCACTTCAGAAAATCATAAACGCAACCTAAGTAAAGACATCACCTTGCCAACAAAGGTCCGTATAGTAAAGCTATGGTTTTCCCGGTAGTGATGTATGGAAGTGAAAGCTGGACCATAAAGAAGGCTGATCGCCAAAGAATTGATGCTTTTGAATTATGGTGCTGGAGGAGACTCTTGAGAGTCCCATGGACTGCAAGAATGTAAGGCCCAAGAGGCGCAGCAGGTCAGAGGGGGAAGAGGACGTGACGAAAGCAGCAAAGAAGATCAAACCTCTCCATTCTTAAGGAAATCAGCCCTGAGTGCTCACTGGAAGGACAGATCCTGAAGCTGAGGCTCCAAGACTTTGGCCACCTCATGAGAAGAGAAGACTCCCTGGAAAAGACCCTGATGTTGAGAAAGATGGAGGGCACAAGGAGAAGGGGACGACGGAGGACAAGATGGTGGGACAGTGTCCTCAAAGCTACCAGCAGGAGTTTGACCAAACTGCGGGAGGCAGTGGAAGACAGAAGTGCCTGGGGTGCTCTGGTCCAGGGGGTCACAAAGAGTCGGACATGACTAAACGACTAAACAACAACAACAACATTCTGTTTATCTAGGCATGAAATTATCCTAGTTTGAGAACACTGCTGGATATAAAGATGGCATCCTAGATTATTTCACATCTGTTCCAGGTTCAAAACTCCACGTTTTTACAATCTAAACAGCAGTAAGGAAAATCTGGGACCTGCTCTGTGTTACTTCTGAGAAAAGTCAGCCCCACGGCCCAGACACGCCTGTCTTCAAGCCTTGATTGACCACAGATTTTCACATGAATAATACTTAGAAAGAAAAACCCCACAATTTTAGGGGAAACAGATTTGTACTTGCTGGAGTTAACCCCCTAGAGTCACAAACGCTATTGGGGGCACAAGTCCCATTCACATGAATGGGATTATTTTCGTCTAGCACAGCCCCCATTCACTTCAATGGGACTTTTGTAACGGAACTCGCCTTTCGATTGTGCCCTACAAAGTTGAAGTTTAATAGCCTTTTAAAATCTATTTTCTCGGGGACCCTTCTTCACAAAGTACAGACACAAACAAAATACAGTTTAATGCTTTAAATGCTGTGTGTTTGCCTGTAAATTAACATCAATGGGAGGCAATGTTTGGTTTCCCTTAAATTGTGGGTATTTTCGCCTCCCCCATCATGTTTCGCTAAAATTCACATTCCCCCGTCTTTTGTACTGCTTAATAAGCGCTTGAGGGAAGATTTAGATCACATCGCCCTCAAAAATTCCAAATATCTTTCCAAAGCCATTTAAGGGAAAACACCCTGAGGCAAAGTCCACAGTCCTATACATCACAGAGGCATGTAGCCCTGAGCAAAAGCAGAGTCAGCTAGCCAGCCTCAAAGAAACACCAGCAGACTTGGCTCCACACATTCAAGGTTTTGTATCTGCGGCCTAACAACAGCTCTATGTGTATGCAAAAACCTGGCGCTACTAAATGCACCCCTGTCAAAGCTGGAAGATCTTCAGAGAGATCAAGTGGTGTTAATAAAATAACCTGAGCCAACTTTGCTACAGTGGCACCTTGGTTCTCAAGCTTAATCCGTTCCGGAAGTCCGTTCCAAAACCAAAGCGTTCCAAAACCAAGGCGCGCTTTCCCATAGGAAGTAATGCAAAGTGGATTAATCTGTTCCAGACTTTTAAAAACAACCCCTAAAACAGCAATTTAACATGGATTTTACTCTCTAACGAGACCACTGATCCACAAAATGAAAGCAAGAATCAATGTACTGTACTATAAAATAAATAAGACAGTATTGTAGATGATAAAAATAAAAATTTATATTTTTTCGGACCTGCACTGAAAATAGTCATTGTTTGGATGGGGTTTTTAAAAATCCATTTCCACAGTCACACAATCAATCAATCAATCAATCAATCAATCAGTGGGTAGCTGAACTGGGTTCCACACCATCAGAAAAACAAATTAACCGAAAAATCCTCAAAAACAAAAGGGCAAAATAAATAGCAAAAACAAAAGTGCCAAACTTAAACTGTTCTGAAAGTCCATTTGACTTCCGAAATGTTCAAAAGCCAAGGTGAGGCCTCTGATTGGTGCAGGTGCCCTGGAAACAATAGCCGACAGACACATCAGATGTTCGGTTTCCGAAAAACGTTTGAAAACTGGAACATTTACTACCTGGTTTTGGGCGTTTGAGAACCAAGGTACCACTGTACTTCTAAGACAAATCCCTCCTTCATCACTCCTGTTCATCCATTACCGTTTACACTGTAAGCTCCTAGGAAGCAGGGACTTGTGTGTCTTTTACCTAACTAGGGTACCAAACACATGGGATAAAGAATGGTCATAACTGCATCATTCTTCCCTCATCTCCCTTCTCATTTCCTGTCGGATCAGGCCAGCGGCCCAACTAGTCCAGCACTGGGTTCGAAATTCGCCAGGCGCCTTTTGCACCTGGCTCTCGGCCAAGTCAAGATGTCCGGGAGACAGGATGGTGCTTCATATTTCCACCATCTGGGGATCCTTGGATGTTTTCACACCCTAATCCCACATCCTGTAGAATTCTATTGGTTGTATTTGATCTGCACAATCGGAATGGATTTCAGGAACCAAAATCCTTTTTCTGTGCAGCCTGAGCAGGAGCAGGGAACAATGTTATAGTTAATCGTTTCTACCCAAATGCAATTCTGGTTTTAAACGCAGTACAGTGGTACCTCGGGTTAAGTACTTAATTTGTTCTGGAGGTCCGTACTTAACCTGAAACTGTTCTTAACCTGAAGCACAATTTTTCACAGTGTTTTCATTGTACGCCTTGTTTCTATTTTTCCGCAACCTAGCAGCTAGTACAGTGGTACCTCGGGTTAAGTACTTAATTCGTTCCGGAGGTCTGTTCTTAACCTGAAGCTGTTCTTAACCTGAAGCACCACTTTAGCTAATGGGGCCTCCTGCTGCTGCCACCGCGCGATTTCTGTTCTCATCCTGAAGCAAAGTTCTTAACCCAAGGTACTATTTCTGGGTTAGCGGAGTCTGTAACCTGAAGCGTATGTAACCTGAAGCGTATGTAACCCGAGGTACCACTGTATTTTAAAATGGGGTTTCAGAGTTTTTAGGAGTTTCTGAATGTCTTATGTAGAGTTTTCAATTTCATTGTTCTGTATGGGGCAATGACAGTAAAGATATTATATTGTATTGTATTGTATTGTATTGTATTGTATTGTTGCTGCTTGTCCTCCCCACCTCATTGCCTTGCTCACAGTTGTGAAGAATATTCTTACGTATGAATGGTCTGTGTCACCATTAAGACAAAGAGGTAGGAATAGGCCATTATATATGTGGACTGTCCCTGGATCAAGCGATTTTTCTTCTTTAAGTTCTCAAAGCTCTTAACCGAGCTCAAGTTAGCAATCTGAACTGAGCCAGATGTTTAACTGAGAATCCATCACAGTCAGTCCATCCTTTGAAAAATCAGACTTGAGAGCTGTTTTGCCTCAAAATGGTAACTGGACCTTCCATTTTGGCGACTGCAAACCTTGGCTTAAGGGGCCATTTGGCACCTAGCTTACATATATGAGTTTCTAACACTGCCGTCGAAAGCAATTACAGCGTGAAATACTATAACCCAGTAGAAGAAGAGGAGTTTGGATCTGATATCTCGCTTTATCACTACCCTAAGGAGTCTCAAAGTGGCTAACATTCTCCTTTCCCTTCCTCCCCCACAACAAACACTCTGTGAGGTGAGTGGGGCTGAGAGACTTCAAAGAAGTGTGACTGGCCCAAGGTCACCCAGCAGCTGCATGTGGAGGAGCGGGGAATCGAACCCGGTTCACCAGATTACGATTCCTCTGCTCTTAACTACTACACCACACTGGCTCCCAGTGATGTCCAACCGGTCGACAGGTAGATTCCCTGGAGATTGCGGTCGATCGCAGGATACTTTTTGATCTCGTGATTAAAGAAGATGTGGAATGAATGTATCCGCCCTCCACCCCCCTCGCCCCCCCCAAAAAGCTCAACCACTCTGGGTAGGTCACTGCCATTTTTTAAATACAGATTTATATAGATCACAGTCTCCCCATCGTTTTGCCGGGACACTGAGGTCCAGCTCCGAGGACCTTCTGGCGGTTCCCTCCCTGCGAGAAGTGCGGTTACAGGGAACCAGGCAGAGGGCCTTCTCGGTGGTGGCGCCCTCCCATCAGATGTCAAGGAAATAAACAACTCTCTGGCATTTAGAAGACATCTGAAGGCAGCCCTGTTTAGGGAAGTTTTTAAAAGTTTGACATTTTATTGTATTTTTAATCTTTGTTGGAAGCCGCCCAGAGTGGCTGGGGAAACTCAGCCAGATGGGTGGGGTACAAATAATAAATAATAATCATAATCTTGTTAGTTGGATGTGCCTGCTATAACCAATTAACCAATAAGTAAGACGAAGGCGAGCCGAAGAGACTGGGCAGCTGAAAAGACTGCAGGCTCTTTCCCCAAGATTCCTTGATGCTCATAAACTTGTACAGACCGATTTCAATCACATATACAGAGAAGAAACGACAGGACTTGCTCCCAAAAAGAATGCTTAGGACTTTAACATGCTATTTAATCCGTAGCACAACCCCCTAAATACCACTGCGGAAGTAAAGCCACATGAATGGGCTTCACGGCCAGGTTAAACGTAAATAAAATTGCAGCCTCGAGTCTCACAATAACCCTGTGAGGTAGGCCACTGCTGCTCACATTTCACAACAGGCAAACCAAGTCTGAGCTGCAGTGGTGGGCTGGAAGTCCAAGGTGAAGTTGGGAATTCGAACTCTTGATCTTGCTTCCCCCTAGCCCTTCCCCTTTTTACTGGGGAATCGTGGAACAGTACAGAATCATAGAACTGCAGAGTTTTGTGCAATTGTAGACCCTTCTGCCAAGGGCCGAAATTTAGGCTCCTTGCGTTTGCTGTCACTAAAAAGCACCAGGAGCAATGATACCTAGAAATGCATTAACCACATTGCATACAAAATATTATTATGCATTAAATTTGCATGCCACCCTTTGCCCGCGGATCTCAGGGAGGTTCACGACGCAAAATCACAACATAAAAACTGCAAAATGCACAGCGAAAACGCCCTTCCTGTTTTAACCAGAAGTAAATCTCTGTACCTTCTCGAACACAGATCCCAACGCAATGCATGCGAAACAGCCTCATCTATGCAAAAGTGGGGACAGAGAAAAGGAAGGGTCCCTCTTTTACTTTCCATCACCCCAAAAGCAAAGCTGACTGGGTAATTTAAAAGGCAACTATTTTATATTTTGAGATCTCAAGTAGAGAGTCTGGATTTCCCAGGAAAACACCTTCTCACCACTGGTGAATGTGTTTTTAGTACTCTAAGGCTGGCAAGGGGGCCTGTTTCCTCTCTCTCTCAGACTCCTCCACCTGGTGACAAGTCCTTTAGAAGCCAGCAGTTCGAAAGAATTCAAGAAGTTCTGGAGAACTGAGACCTTATCACCCTTTTTCCAGAGGGTGTGGGGCAGTGAAATTATTTGCCCAAGCTTCGGTGCCAGCTGCAAGTCTGGCCCGCCTCACAGAGCTGTTGTGCTTTGCCCTTGTTTTTGTTTTTTTATCTTGTGATATCTTTTGAAGAAGGGTGGTATATATATCTACAGTGGTACCTCAGGTTAAGTACTTAATTTGTTCCGGAGGTCCGTTCTTAACCTGAAACTGTTCTTAACCTGAAGCACCACTTTAGCTAATGGGGCCTCGTGCCGCCGGAGCACGATTTCTGTTCTCATCCTGAAGCAAAGTTCTTAACCTGAAGCACTATTTCTGGGTTAGCGGAGTCTGTAACCTGAAGCATATGTAACCTGAAGCATATGTAACCCAAGGTACCACTGTAATAAATAATACTAAAACAATACAAAATAACTTTGTGGATGGCAAAAACAAAATCTGCACAGTAAGTGCTAGGGAAATGAATGCCACCAATCAGAATTTTTTTTTTTTCTGTTTTTAGTCTATTGTTATACTTTAGCTTTAAATTACTGTTGCTGCTTTTTCTTTTTTGGTGTGTTTTTTTTTTGGGGTAAACAGCTTTGAGATTATTTTTTCAACAATCAAGCAGTACATAAATTTTGTGCGATTAGAGAGATTAAGCAGTACTCTTGCATTTTAAACACCCAGCCCCAGTTATGGTGGTCAGGAGAGGCGTTTGATGCGCGCTACTCCAGGCTGAGAGCAACGCGCTCTTATTTATGCTCAGAGGCACTCTTTCAGGCCATCCGAAAGAAGCTGCAAGCCTCTTAAATCCAAGTTTGCGCGTGTGCTGGGAAACTAGGGCGCTGCTGCTCCTAAAAACAATTTCTCCAAACTCGTGCACTTTAAACAAACGCACACACACACACACACAAACAATATATATATCAAAAAAATCACGGACCAACTGCAACAGCCAAATTCAAACTCATCGTCAAGTCCCTGTCCGGACAAACCCCAGCCACGCCCTTCCTTGAAGACCGAGATCCTCTGGAAGAGCGCGGCTTACTCCCGAGAAAGCGCGCAAGTCCCCCTTCATTTCCTTTGGAGAGATCGACACGCAAGTTTCAAATCCAAGCGGTGGTTGCTTTCCAAGGAGCGAAGGGGCGCGCAAAGATCTTCGCCCACTCGCCCCCAAATATCGCCCAAATATCCAAGTTTCCAAGGGTCGAAACAGAACGGAATTAATTGGAAGGGGGGGGATAAGCTCCGGTGGAGGGGAGGAGGAGGAGGAGAGAGCAGGATCCTAGAATTGCAAAGCTGCAAGGGAACCCCAAAGGTCATCCAGCCCAACCCCCGCTTGCAACAACGCAGGAACCGCGTGGAAGACGGCTGCGTTGGTAATAGGAAGACAAAGGCAAGACTCACCTGAGCAGGGAGGGATTGCAGCAGCAGCAGCAGCAGAAGGCAGGTAAAGGTTCTGGTCACTTTCACGTCCATTTCACCAGAGACTTTTCCTTGGAAATGCATCTTGCACGCCCCTCAATTATATAGATTTTTCTTTTTCTTTTTTAATGCAAGCTAGGAATGCTTCGATCCGAACACACAGCCTCTCTTTTCTTAATGGGGTGGGGTTTTTTTTGGGGGGGGGGGTTTAAATAAATAAATAAATACAGAGCCCCCTCCCGCCCACAGCTTAACAAGTTACCAACCACCAAACGCTTCTCGCGGTCCAAAAATTTGGGTAGAGCGCGCGCTCTGCAATCGCAGGGAAACGGGACACACTTTTCTCCCCAAAGAGGAGTACAGATTTGTCCCTTCCTGTCCCTCCTTCTTTCTTTCTTTCCTTCTTTCTTTCTCTCTCTCCCGATTAAAAAAAATAAAGGCAACCCAACTGCTAAAACGAAGCGGCCTCTGGGGAGAGCGAGCGCGGAGCGGCGTTTGGCATCTGGGGGCCCGGAAAGTCGCTCCAGATGTTGCTCCAGAGGCGTCGGCGCGCGCAGGAGGAGCCGAGCCTCTTTCTTCCCCGAGGAGGAAGGTTTGCAGTTTTGCAGAAGATAAGCGAGGAGAGAGAAAAGTGCGGAGGAGAACCAAAAGGGCGCAGAGCCGCTCGCTGGATCCCTCGCTGGGCGTTGCGCAGTTTTTTTCCTCCCCGGATCTCTCTGGCACCGTAGAAAAGTTCGCCCGGGGTTGGCGAGGCTGCGAGCGGGTTCCTTTTTGCTTCCTTCCCGGCTCCTGCTTTCTCTTCTTCTTCTCCGCCTCCTCCTCGCAAGCCCAGCGAAGGAGCAGCTGCTGCAACGGCCGGGGACGCGCCCCTTCTCCAACACGCGCTCCCTGGCGGCTGACTCGCCCGTCTCCTCCCAGAGGTGGGCGCGCCCGGCCTCGCCTCCTTCTCCTCCCTCTCTTCCCCCTCCTGCCTCTCTTCCCCTTCCTCCGTCTTTCTCTCCCACCTTCCTAAATTATTATTATTTTTTAAAAAAACCCAGGAAACATAAGGACAGCACTTCAGGATCGGGCAATTGCGCTTCTAGGCCAGCATCCTTCAAGAACGTAGGGGTGCAGGTAGACTGTCTCTAAAAGGGAGGTTCCATCAATTTGTGTGTGAAAGCAGCAGTGCTTTACTTTACTATAAGCTAAAAAAGCTATAGCTTACGGCCCCACTCTCTTGGGGGCCCTCAAAAAAATTAAAGGGGAAAAAAACCTGGAAACACATTTCCAAAATATAACATTAAAAAAAACAACACCTACATACAGCAAGAGTGTTTTGTGTTGCGTATCGACCTGTTAGGTCCATAAATTGTTGTTGCTGTTTACTTGTTTTGTCGTTTAGTCGTGTCTGCCTCTTCGTGACTCCATGGACCAGAGCATGCCAGGCGCTCCTGTCTTCCATTGCCTCCCGCAGTTTGGTCAAACTCATGCTGGTAGCTTCGAGAACACTGTCCCACCATCTTGTCCTCTGTCGTCCCCTTCTCCTTGTGCCCTCCATCTTTCCCAACATCAGGGTCTTTTCCAGGGAGTCTTCTCTTCTCATGAGGTGGCCCAAGTCTTGGAGCCTCAGCTTCAGGATCTGTCCTTCCAGTGAGCACACAGGGCTGATTTCCTTCCGAATGGAGAGGTTTGATCTTCTTGCAGTCCATGGGACTCTCAAGAGTCTCCTCCAGCACCAGAATTCAAAAGCATCCATTCTTCGGCCATCAGCCTTCTTTACGGTCCAGCTCTCACTTCCATACATCACTACAGTGGTACCTCGGGTTAAGTACTTAATTCGTTCCGGAGGTCCATTCTTAACCTGAAACTGTTCTTAACCTGAAGCACCACTTTAGCTAATGGGGCCTCCTGCTGCCGCTGCGCTGCCGGAGCACAATTTCTGTTCTCATCCTGAAGCAAAGTTCTTAACCCGAGGTTCTATTTCTGGGTTAGCTGAGTCTGTAACCTGAAGCGTATGTAACCTGAGGTACCACTGTACTGGGAAAACCACATCTTGAACTATAGGGACCTTTGTTGGCAAGGCGATGTCTCTGCTTTTTAAGATGCTGTCTAGGTTTGTCATTGCTTTTCTCCCAAGATTGCCTGTAAACGGGAGGTCCCATCATTTTGCGTGTGAAAGCAGCAGTGCCGTATTTAAAGGTAAAGGGACCCCTGACCATTAGGTCCAGTCGTGGCCGACTCTGGGATTGCGGCGCTCATCTCGCTTTATTGGCCGAGGGAGCCGGCGTACAGCTTCCGGGTCATGTGGCCAGCATGATAAGCCGCTTCTGGCGAACCAGAGCAGCGCACGGAAACACCATTTACCTTTCCGCCGGAGCGGTACCTATTTATCTACTTGCACTTTGACCTGCTTTCGAACTGCTAGGTTGGCAGAATGCTTTTTTCTGGGGGTACGCATACCCCTAAACATTTTGTGAATCTAAGTTTGGCCTCATTTGAGGGACAGTATTTCAATATGAGTAGGAAAATGAGAGTACCCCTAAACCAGGCATCTCCAAACTCAGCCCTCTAGCTGTTTTGGGACTACAACCCCCATCATCGCTAGCTAACAGGACAAGCGGTCAGGGATGATGGGAATTATAGTCCCAAAACATATGGAGGGCCGAGTTTGGCCATGCCTGCCCTAAACGGAGTCGGACACGACTAAACAAAAACAGCAAAGAAAGCCAAAAACATCAGGAGCCGAATTTGCCTCTCTTCTGCTTGATTTAGGATTCTGTGTTTTAAATCTGTTTGAAGATGCTGCAGTTATTAAGAGGTGTTAACAAATTAGGGCGGGACTTCCCGGGTGGCGCCATCGGCAATGGCGGACTCCCTCTGATCTGGAGGGACTAGCTCCACGCGAAACGGGTCTTTTCCGCTACGGCGAAGCGGGGACCCTTTTAAAAATCACAGGCGGATGAAGCCTGTGACCATGGGACTCGGCGGGCACCCTTAGCGCCCCCCCAACCCGCAAAGGAACCCACTAACGGGCTCCGGAGCGAAGAGGGGGAAGTGGCGCGGTGCTGAGAATCAACTGCGGTTGCCGGGGCGCGAAGCAACATAGCCGTTGACGGATATCGCTGCCTTATTCCTGGGACAATATGGCAACTAAAATAATCACCCGTGAGTACTTAAATTTCGGACAATTGGACTTTAAATAAGGACTTGAGAGCAGAAAGGAATTGGACTTAAAAATTTACTTCAATTTGGCACTGAAACGGGAAGGTCTAAACAGGAAGTCAGCCTTCCGTTTCTTTGTAGACAGAATAAAGCAAAGACAACGTAAACTAGAGCTCAGAAAATCGCTTCTAAAAGATTAACTTTCATCATTTAAAATTGTTGAACCCCCCTTCGGAAGCAGGAGAAGAAGGGGGATCTTTTTTTGGACTGTTTAAACCTGCAGAAGTGAGTTTAAAGTAAAGTAACTTTCCACCGTCCTGATCCTGGAGCGGGGTGTCAGGACTGACGTTTGAAGCTCATTGACCAGAGACAAACGCTTTTGACAGATAGCTAAAAGAAGAGAAACATAGTGATTCCACTGTTCCCTTTCGCATTTTAAAGGAACAAATATCGACAAAATATCTCAAAAGGAAACTTTGTTGCTAGATTCGACCTTAAAACAAAGAACAAATAGAAGTTTTCCCCTAGAGGGAGACTGTGAAACTGTAACTAATTCCAGGGAGCTTGCAGCTGTTACAGATTACAATCGTGGGAAATAGACTTGTGACCTTGTAGGACAATGTATTCAGAAGCTCTGTTGTGTGCTCTCTGTAAAACAAATGCCCTACTGGAACAGTTAAATGAGAATACTGGATTTGATGACTAATGCGGTCAGAATTTTTGAACAGGCAGTGGGAAACTATATGGAGCCCACCCAGGAATTAAATCAGGAGTGTGCCCTGACAGAACAGATGAGAGAAGAGGATGTTGCTGAATCTTGGGCGCCAGAGATGGAGGGAGCTGTGGCCCTGCAGGAACATGAGCTTTTGGATTTGACAAATGAACTTGGAAAAAGCCAGATTTGGAAAGATAAGGTTTGGACTGGTTTGGAAATGGGGGGTTGGATAGACCCCCCTATGCAGGGATGTTTGGACTTTCCAAGTCTGGCAATGGGCCGTGAGATGTTTGGGGCTGTGGGGGCTCTTAATCTTGGAGGGATTCTGAAACATGTTTTTAAATACCACATGGAGTTTAGTCTGGACTTTGGAAAAGGGGCTGATTTGTTGAAAAGGGTCAAAAACATTACCAAGCTGGAGTTCCCACGAGTGAAAGGAGAATATGAAGAAGAGCTGCGGAAGGGACATGGAAGAGACTTAAGGGCCTCGGATATAAGGTTACCAGGTTAATGCGCTAGATCAATGGGATAAAGAGGACTGACAAAACCCGGGACCAGGAGGAAGGGACGCTGGATGAAGATTGGATTGTTTTTATTTCTTTCTTTTTATTACTAGGATTGTTTTATAAAATTGATGAATGTTAGAAAAATGTTGGAACGAAATTACTTGGCTCTAGCAAAAATGTCTAAAGAATTAGGTAAGAATATTATGGTTATGAGAAGTTGGTAAAAATAAGAGTTAAGTTTTAAGGTTTTCTATAAGATAAGATGAAAATAGATTAAGGTAATGTAATGACAGAATATTATGAAATATGGAAAGGATTTGCTGCGATAATTAATAACTAGGATACAAAAAAAGGGAGGAGGAGGAGGTCAAAGAAAGAAGGTAATGAAAGTTGAGGATTCGAGAATGATGGATTTGTTTTTATCTGTTTGTGGTGTATTTTTGTTTTTTTGAATCTACATTGTTTGATGTGGTTTGTTTTCTTTTTGTTTTCTCTTTTTTCTTTTTCTGCTGTGTTCTTTTCTGTAATTCTAAAAAAATTTCAATAAATATCATTTAAAAACAACAACAACAAAAAACAAATTAGGGCAATGGCTGCGTTCCAAAGGGTATGTTTGTGTGTTTGTTTGTGCTCCACTCACAGCATAATCTGCCTACTCCTAAGTAAACCTCACCATGCTCTATGGCAGGGGTCAGCAAACTTTTTCAGCAGGGGGCCAGTCCACTATCCCTCAGACCTTGGGGGGGCAGACTATATTTTGGGGGAGAAAATGAACGAATTCCTATGCCCCACAAATAACCCAGAGATGCATTTTAAATAAAAGGACACATTCTACTCATGTAAAAACACGCTTATTCCCGGACCGTCCGTGGGCTGGATTTAAGAAGGGGTATAAGATAAAAGGGGGAAAATATTTATTTACATTATTATCATTATTATTATTATTATTGTGTGTGTGCATGTGTGTGTTTTGTATGGAATGTTTGGGAGGAAATAAGACGGTAAATAACAAATAACAAACAAAATATTGATGTATGTAATTTTTATTTCTCAATTATATTTTGTGGTGGTATGGTTGTAATGTTTTTTTTGCAACATAAAATCATTCAATAAAAAATATTTTTTAAAAAAGAGAAGGTGATTGGGCCGGATCTGGCCCCCGGGCCTTAGGTTGCCTACCCCTGCTCTATGGGGCCTGATTCTCAGGACAGGCCTAGGCAAGCCTACTCAGAAGCAAGCTCCCTTGAGAAGGGGTAGGATTGCATCTTTTCCATGTCATCCGATAATGGTCTATTCTGAAGTATATCCGACTGAGTTCAATGGGGCTTGCTCCTAAGTAAGTCAGTATCGGAGTGCAGCCTTACAGTGCAATGAAATCATAGAAATGTAGGGATGGAAGGGGTACCCCACGATCATCTATTCCAACCCCCTGTGATGGAGAAACAAGTGAGTAAGTCCTATTGAATCCAGAGGGACTTAACTCCCAGATAAGTGGGGTTTTTCAAGAGCAGGCATTTCAAGCTTGCAACCCAATATACCTGCTTTCTTGGGAGTAAGGCCCTCTGAATCAGTGAGACCGACTTCTGAATGTTGTAGACAGTTCGGCGCCTCTAGGGCACCTTCCATTTTCCCAACCAGGGAGATTTTAATCGCAGCCGGTATTTGTATTGGCTTTGAAATTGCTGCTTGCTTTTATTGCTGATGTGCGTGTTTTTAATTTTCGTCTTCTTTTTTTTAATTGCTAATCACTTCGAGGCATCTCCATGGGAAAGCGATTCATCACTTAAGCAAGCCAATAAGGAGAATCGAGGACGGCGCTTTGTTTTCTCGCTCTGTGCTTGGCCACGAAGACGTTCTCTTTAAAAAAATAAATAATAATCTTGCTCCTCTTCCCTGGAGGCGCACAAAACAGCTTGCAAAATCAAAACGCAGCAGCGCTGAATAATCTCTGAAACCGTGGCGGGTTCGAGACCCCAGCAAGAGAGCAAAACGCAAAGAGCAGGTTTTATTAGGGGCAGAATAAAATCACAAGCTTGACACTGCTCTGTGGCAGAAATGAAAGTTTTCAATGGATGTCTTGAAATTTAAAGGGGAGTAGGGTGGGGGAGGGAAGTGAAGTGATTATAATATTATTCCTTGCATTTTTGTTCCATGTTCCCTCTAAAGAGCTCAGAGTCAGGCCCATGTATTCCTGAATTTATCTCCTAACTTTTCGTCCAAGGAGTATGTGGTTCACCCCCCCCCTCCTCAGTTAATAATAATAATAATAATAGTAATTTTGTTATGTACTGAAGTTCTCACCCTGGGCCAGCAGGGGGATACTGTGGATAGTTATGCAAATAAGGGATCGAAAGTGACGTTCAGTGATTGGTTAGTTTTAGAAAATTGTTACAGTTACGTTGTACCGGAGCTCTATATAAGCAGGCTGACTGAGCCCTTCAGTTCTGTTCTGGCCTGTGAATAAACAAGAGCTGTTTGAAGAATCGCTGTGTCATGTGATATGTTCACCCACAACTTAACAAATTTTATTTATACCCTGCCCTTCCCAGTTCAAAAACTGGGCTCAGGCCGGCTAACAACAAATTTTAAACACTTAATTGTAAAAGCAGCATAAAATACAGTATAAAAACATGAATAACAATAAAAATAAATAATAATCTCTACAACGACCCTGCGAGGGAGGTTAAGAGGCTGTCAATGGCTCCAAGGTTACCCAGGGAGCTTCAGGACGCAGTGGGGATTTGAACCCTGATCTCCCGGGTCCTAGTATGACACTCTAACCACTACACCACACTTCCCTCCTAGAGTCCTTCTGCGATGGGGCAGCTCTGTAAATTAAGTATGTGAATAAATAAATGTCACCTGAAATATTTTCCTTGAAGCTTGAAATTTGTTTCTGGATGGTTTTATGTGATGTTTTAATGTGCTGTAAACCTCTTTGAGTCCCGTCCCTCCCTTTAAATTATAAAGTGGTACAGAAATGAAATTGACAACAACAACTCTCACTGGGGGAAAATGGCATGTTAGACACCTCGTTGCGGTGATCGTAACGATACGATACGATAATCTTTATTGTCATTGTCCCATACAGAACAGCGAAGCTGAAAAAAATCTACATCAGACATTCAAAAAACAACAAGCCTGCTATCCCAGCTATCCCAGCCTTGTTATCAGCCTAAAAACTCTGATGTTGTTGTTTAGTTGTTTAGTCATGTCTGACTCTTTGTGACCCATGGACCAGAGCAGGCCAGGCACTCCTGTCTTCCACTGCCTCCCGCAGTTTGGTCAAACTCACGCTGGTAGCTTCGAGAACACTGTCCAACCATCTCGTCCTCTGTCGTCCCCTTCTCCTTGTGCCCTCCATCTTTCCCAACATCAGGGTCTTTTCCAGGGAGTCTTCTCTTCTCATGAGGTGGCCAAAGTACAGGCGCCTCAGCTTCAGGATCTGTCCTTCCAGTGAGCACTCAGGGCTGATTTCCTTAAGATTGGATTGGTTTGATCTTGCAGTCCATGGGACTCTCAAGAGTCTCCTCCAGCACCATCATTCAAAAGCATCCATTCTTTGGCTATCAGCCTTCTTTATGGTCCAGCTCTCACTTCCATACATCACTACCGGGAAAACAATAGCTTTAACTATACGGACCTTTGACAGCAAGGTGATGTCTCTGCTTTTTGCTTTTTTTCTGATACCCCATAATTCTGATACCCCATAATTAAATACAATATATTATTAAATACAATATACTCCCCTAGAGAGTATACACCTAGGTTTAAGGTGCCATTTCACGATGAACTTGTATATATTCAAGTTTCTAACACTGCTGAGAATCGCAAGTGCGGAGAGTGGACTCAGGTCCAGGAAACTCCAAAAATAAATGCGTTAATCTTGGCTCATGGTGGATAGCTCAATCGGGAGACCATGAGACTCTTAATCCCAGGGTTGTGGGTTCAAGCTCCATGTTGGACAAAGATTCCTGCATTGCAGCGGGTTGGACTAGATGACCTTGGGGAACCCCTTCCAATTTTACAGTTCTATAATTCTACGCTGTTGTGTTGTCTTCCATAAACATGGTTGTCGGGGAACCAGCCCACCAGGTGCGGAGGAAAAATAACGAAGAGTCATGGGTGAAGGTTTAAGCAAGGAGTGAGCTCTGTCCCCCAGCAGCCTTGCATGTTTATTAGCCTTGCGCACATTACATCATGTTGCATATACACGTGTAGCACTCGGTGGAAAACAGCTAGGGTTTGCATTTCTTAGAATAACTATTCTCTACCCGGACATAACTCCAGACAGCATGACAGCCTTGCGGTTAGGCAGCGACAGTGACCCAGGCGTGTGGGGGGAACAAGTCAACAGAGTCAACAGATGTTTCCTCTTGCACAATCTTGCACAAGGGTGCTTATTTTTTCTATTGCACCCCCACACATGGTTTTAACAGTGAGTCTGTAAGTGACTGTGGAGGCCATTTCTGGATCCACACGTCCTTCCACAGTGGGGACATTGGTTTCCGGGTGGGAGTTGATCCCGGTGTGGATTTGCCAAGCGTGCCTTCCTCTTAGCACCTTTCTCCCTTGCGTCCTGAGTTCGAGTGTCTTCAAAGCCCATGACACCTTTGGTAAAGGCTGTTCTCCAACTGGAGCGCTCGCAAGCCAGTGTTTCCCAGTTGTCAGTGTTTAAACTACATTTTTTAAAAGATTTGCCTTGAGACAGTCTTTAAACCTCTTTTTTTGACCACCAGCATTACACTTTCCATTTTTAAGTTCGGAATAGAGTAGTTGCTTTGGAACACGGTCATCAGGCATCCGCACAACATGACCAGTCTAACGAAGTTGATGTTGAAGAATCATTGCTTCGACACTGATGATCTTCGCTTCTTCCAGTACACTGGTACAGTCATACCTCAGGTTACAGACGCTTCAGGTTGCATTTCAGGTTACGGACCCGCCAAAATCCAGAAGTACCGAAACGGGTTACTTCCGGGTTCCAGGGGTTGCACATGCACAAAGTACTAAATCATGCTTTGCGCATGCGCAGAACCGCTAAATTGCAACCCGCGCGGGTGCAGATGCGACCGCTGCGGCTTGCGAACGCTGTGAGTTGCGAACGTGCATCCCGCACGGATCGCAACCCGAGTGTCCACTGTATTAGTTTGCCTGTCTTCCCAGGTAAAGGTAAAGGGACCCCTGCCCATTAGGTCCAGTTGTGACCGACTCTGGTATTGCAGTGCTCATCTCGCTTTATTGGCCGAGGGAGCAGATGCACAGCTTCCAGGTCATGTGGCCAGCATGACTAAGCCGCTTCTGGCAAACCAGAGCAGCGCACGGAAACGCCGTTTACCTTCCCACCGGAGTGGTACCTATTTATCTACTTGCACTTTGATGTGCTTTTGAACTGCTAGGTGGGCAGGAGCAGGGACCGAGCAACGGGAGCTCACCCCATCATGGGATTCGAACCGCCGACCTTCCGATTTGCAAGTCCTAGGCTCTGTGGTTTAACCCACAGTGCCACCCGCATCTTCCCAAGTGATGTGTAAAAATTTTCGGAGACACCATTGATGAAATCTATCGAGGAGGTGGAGATGGCATTTATAAGTGGCCCATGTTTCACAAGCACCCAGGAAGGTTGGTATAGTACAATAGCTTCGTCAACAAGCATTTTGGTTTCCCTGCAAATGTCCCGGTCCTCAAACACTCACCTAAGAAGGGAGACAGGATTGCCAACCTCTCGCTCTGCCTAACACCCCTATCCCAGCTGTTATTGATTTCGGAGAGGCTAACTTTGATCGAGGCTGAGAAGCCCAGAGCCCGCAGTTTAAAACAATTAAAACCAGAAAGGAGATTGGGACACCCCCACTGCTTGGGTTTATTGCAAGGAGGGGAATGGAGGAGAAGGGGGAGAGGAGGACATAAACTTGCCCTGGCCCCAGGGGGCTGACCTAGCAGGTCTTTCTTTTTCATCCCTTGATCTCTGGAATCCCCCCGCCCCTTCCCCCAGTCCAGGAAGGGCCTTGTCTACATACATCCCTCCTGACAAAAGAGACAGCGGGATGCAGAGTCAATAACCATTTTTACAAGCTGACTGTGAATCCAGAGATAATGTTGAAAGGGGGGTGGGGTTTGGGGTGGGAAGATGGCATTGGCAACAGAAAAAGAGGGGGTTTTTTTTGGGGGGGGGGAGACGTCCGCCAAAATTGTATATGGCGTGCTATCGGGTTTTTCTGGGAAATAATAATAATAATAATAATAATAATAATAATGAAGTTTTTAATGTTTGATGTTTTAAATATTCTGTTGGGTGCCGCACAGGGTGGCTGGGGAAACCCAGCCAGGTGGGCAGGGTATGAATAATAAATTTGGATTATGATTATGATTATTATCTTGTGAGTTGGATGTGCCTGCTATAACCAATTAACCAATACGTAAGACAGCCACGAAATTAAAAGCCGTCTGCTTCTTGGGAGAAAAGCAATGACAAACCTAGACAGCATCCTAAAAAGCAGAGACATCACCTTGCCAACAAAGGTCCGTATAGTAAAAGCTGTGGTTTTCCCAGTAGTGATGTATGGAAGTGAGAGCTGGACCATAAAGAAGGCTGATCGCCGAAAAATTGATGCTTTTGAATTCTGGTGCTGGAGGAGACTCTTGAGAGTCCCATGGACTGCAAGAAGATCAAACCTCTCCATTCTGAAGGAAATCAGCCCTGAGTGCTCACTGGAAGGACAGATCCTGAAGCTGAGGCTCCAGTACTTTGGCCACCTCAGGAGAAGAGAAGACTCCCTGGAAAAGACCCTGATGTTGGGAAAGATGGAGGGCACAAGGAGAAGGGGACGACAGAGGACGAGATGGTGGGACAGTGTTCTCGAAGCTACCAGCATGAGTTTGACAAAACTGAAGGAGGCGGAGTGGAAGACAGGAGTGCCTGGCGTGCTCTGGTCCAGGGGGTCACAAAGAGGCGGACACAACTAAACGACTAAACAACAACAACAAGACGAAGGCGAGCCGAAGATACTGGGCAGCTGAAAAGACTGCAGGCTCTTTCCCCAAGATTCCTTGATGCTCGTACACTTGAACAGACCGATTTCAATCACATATACAGAGCAGAAATGACAGGACTTGCTCCCAAAAAGAATGCTTAGGACTTCAGATTATTATTATTATTATTATTATTATTATTATTATTATTTACGGTGATTCCAATTTTTCATTTCCGGGTGACCTTTTTCCACAACTGAGAAGAATCAGTCCCTTTTTCAGTGTTTCTAAGCAAAGGTTCATCCCCTTATGATACAGGAAATTGTGCTATTTTCAAGAAGAAGAAAGTTTTAATATTAATAATAATAATTTATTATTTATACCCCACCCATCTGGCTGGGTTTCCTCAGCCAATCTGGGCGGCTTCCAACAAATACAGTAGTCTGTTAAACATTAAAAGCTTCCCTAAAGAGGGTGGCCTTCAGATGTCTTCTAAAAGTTGTATTGTTCTTTATCTCTTTGAGATCTGGTGGGTGGGCGTTCCACAGGGCGGGTGCTACTACTGAGAAGGCCCTCTGCCTGGTTCCCTGTAACTTGGCTTCTCGCAGCGAGGGAACTGCCAGAAGGCCCTCAGCGTTGGACCTCAGTGTCCAGGCTGGACGATGGGGTGGAGACGCTTCTTCAGGTATACTGGACCGAGGCCGTTTAGGGCTTTAAAGGTCAGCACCAACCACTTTTCACAAGTGCCATTGAAATGAATGGAGCTGCGCTGAGCCACTGCCGCCCTCCCTTTTTTCGCAAAGGGCAAGGAGAGATCCCTGTGGATCTCAGCCATCAGTTCCCCCCACTTTGCGGTGAGGTCCTTCACCTGCCTGTTTTTAACCTGGCTTGCCGAAACGCAACATTTCTCCAGTGGGAATTGGGACGGTCTATACCATAATCATAGGATGCGGGTGGCCCTGTGGGTTAAACCACAGAGCCTAGGACTTGCTGAACAGACTGTGGGTTAAACCACAGAGCCTAGGACTTGCTGTTCAAATCCCCGTGACGGGGTGAGCTCCCGTTGCTCGGTCCCTGCTCCTGCCAACCTAGCAGTTTGAAAGCATGTCAAAGTGCAAGTAGATAAACAGGTACCGCTCCGGCGGGAAGGCAAACGGCATTTCCGTGCGCTGCTCTGGTTCGCCAGAAGCGGCTTAGTCATGCTGGCCACATGACCCGGAAGCTGTACGCCGGCTCCCTCAGTCAGTAAAGTGAGATGAGTGCCACAATCCCAGAGTCGGCCACGACTGGACCTAATGGTCGGGGTCCCTTTACCTTTACCTATACCATAATCATACAGTGGCATCTCAGTTTATGAACTTAATCCATTCCTGAAATCCGCTCTTAAACTGAGGCGCGCTTTCCCAGTGAGGCCTCCCATCTTCTTTGGAAGCCTTCCAAGTGGATAGCTCAGTTGTTTAGAACGTGGTGTTGATAACGCCAAGGTTGAAGGTTTACTCCCCGAATGGAACACCTGCGTATTTCTGCAACGCGGGGGGTTGGACTAGATTATCCTTGTGTATTGGAAGACACAAGATTACCCTTGTGTATTGGAAGACACAAGAGCTTCCCACACTGGAGGAATGGCAGATGAAATTGATGGACTATATGGAATCGGCGGAAATGACTGGCAGAATCCGTGACCAGGGAGAAGAGTCGGTGGAAGAAGATTGGAAGAAATTCAAAGATTACTTACAGAAATATTGCAAGATTAAAGAATGTTAGAGTGATGTTGGATTGAAATTAATTGGCTTCTAGCTGTACAGGCTTTAAAGTTATATATAGATCAAGATTAAGGATTAGGATTAAAAAAAGTTAAAAGAAATGGAAAATTGGTTTTTAAGAGGTTAAAATTTAATGTTATATTATATTAAGATTAAGGATTGGGATTAAAAAGGAGGGAAAGGAATTGCTGGACAAACAAATTGAATTGGAATACAAAAGAGGGAGGTATGA